CTCTCTCTCTCTCACACACACACACATACTCATTCCATCTTTTGTTTTCATGTTTATTTACGTCCTGTAAATCATAGGGTTACGAACTAGATCATGGACATTAGTACTACCACTACTAATAATAATAATGGTGGTAGTTGTTGTTATTGTTTTTTGTTGTTGTAACAGTGGCACTGGTATTGATTGTTTTTCTCTTATGATATTATCGATTGAAAGTCATTACATTTTGACATATTTTTTGGCTTTCTTTAATGTATTATTACACTTGGATTTTTGTATTTTTTTTGTAATACATATTTGTGTACCTGTTTACATGTGGTTTCACTTATATGCGTATTTGTATATATGGTTATGTTGAATTGAATCTTATCAATAGCACTGTATTTATTTTATTATATACTATTAATTATTTACATTGATGCCGGTTCTTTGGTTTTAATTATGTACACACACTCACTCACTCACATAAAATACATGTGAACCAGTGTATTTAAGTTTTTTTTCTCCAAACATAATGATGATACGTGTAATGAGACATTTGTAAACATTTTAAACGGATTAATTCATTGTTGTTAAGACGTCACTAGGATACCTGAGGCTACAGTTGTTTTCTTTTTTATAACTGTTCTTTTATTAAATAATTATAAAATAATTTCAATGGTTAAGATCATAAGTCGACTGAAGCTAGACCACCATGGAAAACCTGGAAGTACTGGACGGCCGTTTCGTCCTAATGTGGGACTCCTCAGTGGTGTACATCCACGATCCCACCTCGCGAGATACTTCATTATATATTTGTAACTAGGTTGTTAATACATACATGATGAAGGTACATAATTTAATGTGAAATCTTTCTAAGCATACAATATCTAAAATCTGATTTGAACAGCTAGACGGTAGTAAGACTCAAACTTCACAATCGAATACATCTTTATCGGTATTTACTGAATGAATTAAAAATAATTATTCTTAATTAGAATATTAAAGATTCCCATTATGATAATCAGAACGAAATGTATATAAGCGAACAATATTGTTGTTTTTTTTTTTTTGCAATTAGATTTTCATCAGGCTTTACTCTAATCTACATGAATATTTACATGGGTACATCAATATACTAAACCAATCAAGTCAATATCTGAGTTAATGATCACAATGAAATCGACCGTATAATAATACATAATGGGCAGAAAGTACAAATTGATAATAAAAAGACAAATGTGCTAGTAGTGACAAAAATAATTTGGAAAAAAGGTCGGTGTGACTATAATTTATGGATGAATCAATCAGATACAAGATAATAGGTCTTAGATTCGTTCATCCATTTAGCTAAATAGCGTTTTGGCATTTCAGCTAATGTCAGTTCGTAATGATAAACTCCAAATCTAATTCTTACCCTTAACCATCAACTGTAAATCATAATTTTAATTCCTCAAGCTAGTTTCTAACCTTCATCTACTCCTGGTTACTAGGTGGGCATTCTCAAGGTCACCTTAGCGTTACTCAAAGGTCGTCCATAAATTATTGTCTCACCAGAGCTTTTAGTTAATTGTAGATGTAGATTACACTTGGATAAATATACTTTCATATAATCACAACACACTATTAATATTACGTAATAATTATGAGTTAATTTATATAAAAAGTAATAGTTAAATGTCTAAAATTACTCTTCATAAAATAGTTAGGTTATTACAAATTATAAATTCAGTATTGTCTTGTTGCTTAGTCATTACTATTTTCTAATTTTTTACAACCCTAATCCATGGAAAGACAACTTATAATTAATTAATCACTGGGTAGTAATCAATGTCATGTTTGTCAGATCCTTCTTAGTGCAACATCTCAGTCCTGTAGGAGGTCAGTCGCAGCTCGAATAGCTGAGTGGTAACGTCTCTGACTGTGAAGCTGAGTGAAACGGCATCCAATCCATCAGGGAACATCAGTTCCCTTAAGACTAAAGGTATACCCTACTGACGAGTGCTAAATAGCACGAAACCTAGGTCCAGGGTTTTCCTGTCGTCTACCTTCGACCACCATCACATGAAAAGACAATATTTATTCACTAATGACTGGCTCATTCACATATGAAAAACATTCTATAAAACATGTTTGTATTAGTTTTTTCCTATGTTTTGTCTTGAATGTAAAATCATGACGTAGTGGTTTAAGATGCTTGACTTTCGACAAGTAGATCACAGGTCCGAAACCCGTTTAAACTACTTGTTTCTGCTTAATCATCTGGCTAATAGTATTGCTAGCTATTAGACAATTACTGTGTAGTTTAAAGCTGGGTCCATAAATGAGATACCTCTTTTTTCACTTTAGTAACCACTTTCAATTTCTTGTTTTTAATACAGAAAGGTTACGAAAATTAGAGTATACAGAATGAAGTTTAATCTTGTATCTTAATTCATGAATGTTGAATGACTAAACTATCAGTTCACTACCCAAATTAACCGAGAAACAATTACTCATTTATTTGAATAAAATTACTACCTAGTTGATTTATTATGTCTTCAGTTCCCATCTAACTAGAGGTTTCAAGTTTGAATTCCTTTCTACTGTTCATATCTGATCATATCTTTATGTATCGTATAATAAGTTTGACGGGAAGCATTTTACACGAACTTATGGGGTTACTTATTGAATTGGGTCAATAATTAAATAATTATTTTTTTTTAAACTACATCGTATTAGTTTCTATGCATTGCTTGTTTAAACTTGGTTAAATAGACTGTAATATAATCACAACTCAGTACTTCCCTGCTTCGGTATGAGCATCCGGTCAATATTCCAACCCTCACAAAAATCGAATAAAGAACTGTGGCGCATATATATTTGGTACCTCCTTGTACCAATGTTTACATGTTCAAATAAATGAACAAATAAGTATTACTTGTTTAAATGATCCTATTGATGTTTAGGACTGTTATCTATCAGTCTATTTTAGCATATTTATATCCTGTACGAAATAATTTTAATACTACGGTTAAGTCATAATCATTTTTACATAAAGATGAATTTAGTGATTAACAATGGAATGTAGCATGCACGTTTCATTAATATATAACAGTCATCATTTGAATTATCCTTTCTTCATTTAGTCAGTTGTTAGATATTATGTAAAACATTAGTTACATACACATTTTGTACACACTAAGATTAGTACATATGTGATGAACGTAGACTTGATAGAGACAATCAATTTATTGTTTAATGCAATATCTTCCATTTGCACATGTTCCATCATTTCCATCTTATAAACTTTATCATTCCTTCATTCCTGTTATTCATTACAATTACTCTCTGTTTACATTTTTTTTGTTTACGTCAATTTGATCTTCTCAACTTTCTGTTGTGAGATATTCCCCTTCTGATTGATGTTATTTACTACTTGTATCTGTCAACACAAGTGTCATACACCACACATACATTACAATATATGTTGTGCTTAGTTTATTTTGAGTGATTGATTGATTGATTATTTAATCATAGGTTGATTGATATTAACTGACAGAAATATGAAGTATTCAATGAATGTATGTTGTTTCGTTTTATACAGGTCCTGTAGTAAACACAATTATGAAAAGATTGTGTATCAGTTTTAAAGTCATGCAATAGACATGTCTCTATTGAATTATTTAGTTGAAATACTGTGTTTATTTGATTTGTGATTTACTCAATTTTATTAACTATCATACAAAGATATTGTGTTTTGTAATTCGAGATTTAAGTATACTTCAGCTTTTATTTTCATCTTAGATGATTAGTCAGTTCTGTTGGGTTGATGCTTGACACTAATTCAGAGAGCTACGATTGAAGCTTTCTAATTCAGTTCATTTGTGGCGTAGACAGAATAGTTGTCTGCTAATCAAAAGGCTAATATTCTGCACAGTAGACCTATTTTTGTGGTACTCTATGACTAAAGTATACCCTATAAAATTAGATATAATTAGGCTGCAGGTGTCTTCGAAACATTCTTTGGGTATTTTTTAGAAAAGTTGTCAATCCGGCTGATGGGGTAATAAGTCTAAAGACTCATACTGAGGTAGTTAGTACATGTATTACGTGTTCCTAACCATTACCTCTTCTACGGGCGGTGTTGGTTGATTGATGTTGGAATACATTGGAAAAAACTTAGGGTCAACCATATCAAAATGTGGTATTATTTACCTTGAAGCCACTGATTGTTGGTCTAAGGTATGTTAAGAAAAGAAGACTACCTGATTGTTTTATTCATGAGTACTACACTTAGTGATTTGAAACATTAGATGATGTGTTTTACAATCGCCCACATTGGTATGAATACACTCATTCCTTACCTTTATCTAGATATTGAATTCTGTTATTCATTCATACATCTATTTTAATTCTTTCTTTTCAAACCATTCTACCAATAATGAAGAATATTTTAGTGAACAATTGTTTTCAATTATCAGGCTCTACAGTTATAAGTTAAGGCATGTATTAATGAATTTGACAGTGTTTTGTGTTAAAAATGATGAACGTTTGCATTCTCTCAATATTTAATCTTTTTTTCTTTTCATTAGCGTTACTTTATTTCGATCCCTTCTGAATGTTTGTGCATTAAATTTACTCATTGTAGACAGATTTCTGCTCTTCTTATCATCAATTATTGATTCATCTTATTAGGAATCCATGGAACTTTAGATTATCTTATTTTATATTGTTGCTCAATAGAGTTATATTAGTCAGTTTCACGTTGAACGATAATGAAAGCATTATGATATGGTTTCATTCGTCTTATAATACTAGTTTTTCTCATGGAACTATAACTTAGTTTCAGATTTTAAAGGTTATATTTGATTAATAGATTTGTTCTATATTAGAATCTTACTTAATAGTTATGACTTAACGTCAACAGTTATGAGTTCTTTTATTTCGATAATGCAAATGTCATCAATGTTCTTTTCTATTTCGGAATCCTTACCCTTTTGTTTCTTTTTTCTAAACTTACTCTATGATGTTATTTACAGCTCCCGGTGGTGAAGCTGGCTGTGATATTTCCCAAATACCGTGTCGTGTATGCAGTGGTCCATCTTCCGGTTTTCATTTTGGTGCATTAACATGTGAAGGCTGCAAGGTGAGTATCGATTTCTTTCAAGTACTATTATTATTACTATTTCTATTATTATGACTGTTATTTGAAATAGTTTGAGTACTATTTTTTTTTAATTTTTTAATCATGGAATGCCGACTCAGTGATCTAAAGGTTACAAGTCTTTAAGGTCATCAATTTACTCTTCTGAGTAGTCTCATACCGGAACGAAACAACTGGTTATAAGTTGCTGTTTAATGATAATCATTATTTGATTTTAACTATAACATTCAGTTTTCCATCAAATGAACTTTTATCTTCTATTTTTATCCTTTATGTACTAATGGTTTTTTCTTAAGGTCGTTTCTAGTGCAAAAACATGACCTTTGTGTTTTAATGATGACCTTTTTATGACTTAACTGTGCCTTTGTATGCTTATATGTTTGTATATGTCGTTAAATGTTTTATAGTCGTTGTTTATCATCAATTTGTCTTATTATCTGGGTCAATAAATGAACTCATTGTGAAAAATATGGAGTAGATTTTCATTGTTCTGATAGACAAAGAGACTAGATAATTGACATAACCTTGACCCAGGCGAAAGATTTTTTCTACGTAAATTATCGTGGTTAGATGTACTTTCGTTATGAATGAATTCATTAGTATTGAACTGATAAATATCATGACCTTGTTTAGATAATGAGTCCGGATCTGAGGTTGGAACAAATAACGAATATTATAATTGTCCAATGAGATTGAAGAGTGTCGTGATCAATTGTTTAAACTAAACAATCACAATACGTTGAATTTCAATGAGTAATTCATTGTATTTTCTTCATTTATGTACCAACTAATGAGATTAAGTATTTTGAATTAATAATATGCTTTGAAATTGATGAAATGTATCAGTAAGATGGAACCATATTTTATGGGTGACTTATAAGCAACGCTAACGTGACCTTAGGGGGATTCAATTTGATACTAGGTCTTAATGAAGGTTATAAATTAATGCAAGGAATTAAGGTTAGAATTTACTGTTGAACATTAGAATTAGGGTTTTCATCACTGAACTGTTGTCACAATTAATGCTGTAGAATACTCTTTCACATTAGGTATATATTTACAATATTCAGTCTATTAATTTCACTTACACCCATGATATACTTTACGAATATGTCTTCAATATAACTTCCAAAGAAATCCTCTCATGTAAGCAATTTAAACCCATTATGTAATTATGGATTTTAAATATCACAGGTTGTAAGCAGCTGACGAGAACCTACGAAATAAAATGAATCCATGCTATTCTACTAGAATCTTTGTTCTTGCTCATTTCAAAATGATAAAGGGAACTATGTGTATAAAAAAATAGACTAGAATATTTACTTTCACCCTTTGTTATCAAAGGTTAAATGAAGATTAACCATGGACTTTTTTTAAAACAAATGTCAGATTGATTTCTTCTAATTGCCATGCCTACAACAAATGTTAATATTAGCTTAAAGTTAGATTGTTTGTTAATTACTTCGAATGTATTAATTATATTCACTTTATGCTCCATTTCTAGCAAGTGACATACTGTCAAACTACAAGGACTATTTTCTCAGAGGCTTAAGTTCTTGAGAATATGTTCAGTAAAACACTTATCTTTCCAATGTACATGATTTTTGTCGTGTACTTGTATTTTCTTTTATATAGTAGAAGATTTTTTCTAAATATACCCGTTAATTCACAAGCCAAACAACTGATGGATGTATACTAATTCATAATTTAATTATAATAAACAATGTTATGTTGTTTAATCCTCCATGGTGATTGATTCCTCTTGATCGAATTATTGTATATGTTCACAGATCTAAATGATTCTCTACCACGTTGAACTTTGTTCTTAATGTTAGATTATTATAGATGTTTAAAAAGGAAATCTTTTCGCCTACTGTTGATTGATAATCACTTTATAAAGATATATTTTATAATGATTTTTTAGACCATCGTAATTGTAGGGTTCGAATCCGTGTTGCCTATTTACTATAATTTGTAGCTTATATTTGTGTGATATACTTTAATATATGAATTTTCTCTCAAATTTTCAACCATGGAATTAAGTTAATCATTGTGTCCAAACTTAATTAAATTGTTCTTAGTGTAGTGTAGTATAGTATAGTGTGGTCATGAAGTGAAACGGATACATATCATTAATCGTTCTCGGAACATTCACAAACTTGACAAAATTTCATCAATAATCCCTAAGTAGAAAATGTTCACTTTTTTTCTTTTCTTATCTCACTTATATAATTATTTTTTTATATTTTAATCATTATGAAATAATTAATCGATTTGGTTATTTAATTTACGCACGATTAAATAGAATTATTTTGTCTATTTACGTTTTGCATCATTGGTTTTGTTACTTAGTAAAGAATATTTCAACTTTCGAAATGAAAAACAAACAAATCAATTCTATCAGAAAGGGAGTTTGTAGAGTTTGTATTCATTTAATTGTTAAATTCATGAGTTGATTGTGGATGCTCACTGCTGAGGAATCCTATACTAGGACGAAACGGCTTCCAGATTTTCATTCGTGATCTAGCTTCAGTTGACTCATGAATTCAAATATTAGATAAATTGTCAGTTAGTGGTCTTGAGTGCTGTTAGAGGTATGAGGGCTGTTATCACTTCCCGGTTGCCAACACCGTGGAAAGGTTCTTTTGGAAGTATCTGAAAACGAAATTGGATTAAAGGTGGTTATAGTGACCTGAGAGCGTGAGCTCAGCGCCCAAGAGACAAATGCTTGAGGCTGGTCACACACGACCTTTCTGTGAGTAATTTTCGTGTTAGCTCCGTACTTGTTGAGACCTTACTTCCGGAGGCGGATATCCGTGGGATAAGGCGAGGTATGCACTTTTAGGGTCGACCCTTTCTAACCTCACCCTTCTTTGTGGAAAGGTAGCATCGCTGTTATGTTGGTTGTCTGAAGGAAACACCTTACTGCCGTCACAACTCTGTACAATCAGCAGTACAACTTCGCCCTCAGACCCTGGGTTTGCTGCTTTTAATCTTACCGCTCTTCGGCCGATCTGTCCAGTATAGCTCGATTGGTTCATTACGATAGGCTAATCCGACCACCACGTCAAGGTAGTACACATGTCTAACTATTATTTACGCCTATATATAATTCATGGTATTGTAATGTTGAATAGGTTATTAAAAAATCTAGGAATGAGTAAATCAAGACATAGTCTCATTCCATGAATGTTATTGAATTTCGGTGTGAAAAAATTACAGAAGGTTCAGATTAATTAGTTCGAATCTATGGGATAACTGTCATCGATTATATCATAACATAACTCATGGTTTGTTACAGTCGCTGAGATTCATCCATTCTTTATATTCCTTCTCCTACTTTCATACTTGTCAATTTTAAGTCATACTTTCATCTCTCATTTCAAAGCGTACACCACGTCCATAGCTGTCACTGTCTTCCTCTTGGCGTGCTCTGTGTAGGTGACTGCATCACGGATCACGTTCTCCAGAAACACTTTCAGAACACCACGAGTCTCCTCGTAAATCAATCCTGAAATGCGTTTCACACCACCTCGACGAGCCAGACGACGGATTGCAGGCTTTGTGATACCCTGGATGTTGTCACGCAACACCTTGCGATGTCTCTTGGCTCCTCCTTTGCTCAAACCCTTACCACCTTTCATTCATCTCTCATGTTTAGCTTTCTTTCAATTCTCAGCTTGTTTATATTTGTTCTAGTTCAGTACTCTTTAATAGTAGACACTCACAATCCCAGCGAATGTAGATCTCAGCACATTCATGTTTCAAGGTAACTGTCTAAACTTCAAACTGTTTGTTTGGAATCTAGTGATCCACAATTCTAACGTCAATCAGCGTCATGGGTATTGATGTTGTTGTGTTAGCGCATTTGTTACTATTTAGAAAGCATTCATAGTAGCAATAGTAGTTGTTTTTGTTCATGTAGACATTGGTAAAAATTTTTCATTGAAGTATCATGCTTAGTAAATTATTTTTAAGACGATAAACATCAAGTCAAATATAACCAAATTGTATTTTGCCTTATGATGATATTGCTTTACATAATTTTTTTTAACTCCATATATGTATCATTGTTTTAGGTGTTTTTCTTTTAAAAATATTTATAGTAAGTTACCTGGAGACTAATAGCTTTAGTATATGCTTTTACCTGCCGTCATGTTCATTATTGATAAGTGTAGTTGAGCTTTTTAGAAAAATATAAGATACTAATGAGAAGACGAATATAACTAATTGTGAGAAATATTATGCTGTGGAATATCTACGACTACCATTAGACGAATTCTAACGATTAATAATTTTATGAACATCGTGATTTCAAATCTCTCAGTCCAACACAAGTTGGTGGAGCAGGGTTCAAACCTGAGATAGTGGCTAACGGTCAGACACATTAACAACTGAACCATCGTTTCTGTTTAACGGTTAAGTTGGTTTTTTTTTAACTGTCACACAATTCGATATCAGTTCGGAATTTCTCTATGGCATACATTTTTTTGTCAATAGTAATACAATCATTGGGAATCAAAAAGCACTTGATAGCTGTTTCATCTTAGCATGAAACTCATCAACGATTCAAATTCACAACCTTATCGAGGATAGAACCTAGGACCTTTAAGTTTCGTGGCGAATGCTTAAGTTTAAGACTAGTGATTTATAATTCAATGGTTTACTTACTTGAATTCAATTCTCATTTCCTTTTTTATAATCTTCTGCATAAATGAACAATTTCATATAAATTTCTACTTACTTAATAATGATGTTGTCTAATACTTGTTTTTGCACAAGAATCATAAACTTCACTAAGTTTGTTTCATTACACTTTCATTTCCACTTTTCTAATACATTTTTTTTTCTTACTTTTAGGGTTTCTTTCGACGAACTGTCTTATCCAATGTTCGTTTAGAATGTCTTGGCAATAATGATTGTCCAATTACACCAGCTAATCGAAATATGTGTAAAAGTTGTCGATTTCAACGTTGTCTAGCAGTTGGCATGTCTAAAACTGGTTAGTTGTTATTTCGCTTTCCATATATATATATATATATATATATATATATATATATATATATATATATATATATATATCATGCTGTTGTACCGAATGAACAAAAATGTGAAAATTACGTATGAATGACCATTTATTTGAAATCAATAATTGAAGTAATTATTCGTAGATTTAGAACAGATTATGAACAATATATTTTCTCTTACCTACTTTTTAACATCTTATAATATATGTAGAATAGATGGAATGTGGTAAGTAGTGGAATTCAAAGTGTGCATTTCGTCTTACTTGGGTCTCATCAACTGCTAGCTACTCTTTATTTGTTCTATACAAACATGTATAATAATGGATATATTGAGGCAATCTACACAGGATGCATATATTTCAATCAAAACTCTGATGAAATTCCAATCAAAAATAAGATAACTGAAAATATGAGAAATTAAATTTGGTAGTATATTGTTTCTATGATTATTTTTTCTGGTTTTAGTAATTAAACAATGGCTTATGTAATGAAATTTTAGCTAAATAGTTCGTATTTCCTCCATATATAGTCAAGTATACGCAGCTGATTAGTATTTCTAGACCTTTCACAAATGATATGACAGATATGATATATCTGTCATATATACGTATGTACGAAGTTCTACGTTGTCACTGACTGTCAGTCAGTCAGTCAGCTACAACGTAGGACCAGGCACATATGTGCATCGGTCCAGGTTGCCATACCTCATTAGCACAGCAAGATGAACAGCGGATTCATAGGAGTGGTTAGGTCAAAGGTTGCAATAAGGATATAGTATAGGAAGAAAGAATTAGTTCGTAGACAGAAAGAATGAAGTGATTTTAGTCTCTTAGTTTAAGGGAAGACAGGGAGTGTATACACCGACGCCATTGTGATCGATTCTGAGCCATGTCACGAAGAGTCTCCAACCATTGGTTACGAAAGTCACGCGGACCCCAACCAAGTAGTCTGCATCTACCAACATGGCTCAGACTAGAAGTTAGTGACTTCAGGCACTGATGCCACGTTTTGGTTTGGCCGCCCCTAACTTTCTTCCAACCATCCCCAACACTCGTCAGCATTGGACGTTGTGGTAATCGGTGTTCAGGCATACGTAATACGTGGCCCAACCATCTCAGTCGATGAAGATTCATAACCTCATCAACTGATTTACCATCATTCCCTAATACCCTGCGTCTAACCTCACTATTACTTACCCGGTGATCCCAGTAGATGCCAGCAATATTTCTAAGGCATCTGTGGTCAAATACTAGTAGCTTACGGGTGTTACTGACTGATTGACAAATGATATGACTATTAATTGATAAAATTAACTTGTACTTGGTAATCAATTTACATGTTAACTTTAATGTATAAACTTGTAGGAACGATGTAACATTGTATTGATTATGTTACCTTATGGTAATCCTTCAAAATTTTCTTACAAAATAATATTCTACTCTTCTTCATAATCGATAATGGGGATTTTGGAATATTGAAAAGATTACAATTGATTGTGATAAGTCTTGCGGATTGAACGGTATATTCGTTTCCTAAGCTATTCTGTAACCCTCAAACTAGAACTATACAGCGACCTAAACAACGAGGGAGAAAACGCAAAACATGCGAGAAGCACTTTACTCCAAGGTTCATTTCAATACAGAAAATACAGAGTTTTTATAGTATTTTAAATGTTCTTGGGTTGCTCGAAGATTCTGGAATGCTACTAAACATAGTAGCAGTGTAGCAATCAGCCAATCAGAACTTCTGCATGTGACGTTTCACTTCCTTGATATTTTTAGCTAAAACTTCAAGTGAACGCTGATTGGATGAAACGCTTCTTAGTGTTTCCTGATGATTGCTTGTCATTTGCAAGCAGTTTTCTGGATCACTCCAACAGATTGATCACTGAGTAGTAGTCAATGTTATTTATTTCAAGTCCTTAATACAGATTGAATTCTATCTATCGAATTGCAATGTTCCATTAGACTACATGACTGGAAATCACGTGCACTATGTTGAGATGTTAAGGTAGTGATTGGAGGTAATCAACAGAAAACCTTGTACCTAGGTTTCTAACTATTTGACACTCGTCAATCAGGTGTACATGTAACAAATTTCAAATACCTCTAAGTCCTGCAGGAGATCAGTCGCGGCTTGAATTGCTCATTAGTAACGTCTCTAACGGTGGAGCTGAGTGAAACGGAATTCCATCTGTCAGGAAATATCATTTCCCTCAATATTAAAGGTACAGCTTATTGACAGATAATTCCCATTTAAACATTAAAATTAAAACACGAAGTTCAGCGAAGGGATCTCTTTTCAACGAATTTATTATCAAGCTGTACAATCGTATATATATGAATATTTTGTTTTTGTAAAAGTACTAATTCCGTGAGGAATTATTGACACTACCTCCAACGACTAAGCTAAATACTGGAAAGTATTGTAACTCAGTCGGTTGTTTTCCCCACTGAAAATTTTTTTGTTATCATTCTGGATACCATCATTACTTCTTACTTCCAATCAAACACGAAACTAAGAGAACGCAAAATTACTGAAAACGATAGACATTGTTTTTTTCCTGGTTTTGTTACTTGATTAACAGACTATAGATTCTAGTCCACTCCCCATAAACTACTACTGTTAATGCACGCAAGCTTATTCAATATAATCAATAGAAAGATTTCATTCTAGTTGGCGACCGTTTTTCGTCATCTCTATATAGATAACCAATCATCATAGAATACTGATGCCTCAAATCTAAATAAACTAATTTACCCTTCTAAAGATTACACTCTAACTAAATTTCTAGTTGCCAAGTCATATTTGTTAATTGTTTCAGTTTTACAGTTTGTAGACTGTAAGATCAACCTTTTCTAAAAAAAAAACGAAAAAAAGAAATGCACACAATATTCTGTTTAAACACAACTAAATTGTATAGAAGATAACATTTTTCAAATACATTTTGTTACACTGAATGCTTTTACTGTATCAGTATAAAATGAGAACTCTTATTTGTTACATATATATATCCATATAATTTTTTTTTCTTATATAGAATAGAGGAAAAATAAGGTTATTGTATGTAGCTATAGGTACATAGATTCGAAGTGTAGACATTTTAATGTCGGATAGTTTATTCTCTCCTTTCTTCTTCTTCTTCTTCTTCTTCTTCTTCTTCTCTTTTATTCTACTAGTTGTATCATTCATTAATTATTATATTGTCTTAAAAAAAAACTAAAAAAAAAACACAACATATTCCGTCAACAATTTAAACCATGTTATACAAACATGTGGGAATAAACACAAATAAAGTTGGCTTGATCGACTAACTATTAGATGGGGTATATATGTAGGAATGTATATTGGGATAAACTATGTGTGTAGTCTTTTATCATTTCTCAATATGTATTGAAGTGTCATTGATCGAATTGTAGTAGTATGTCTGTAGTTTCATTTCTTCTCTTTTTTTTCATTCTTTTCTGTCTCCTTTTTTTGTTTGTTTGTTTATTTGTTTGAAGAACCATTGAAAACTAGAAAAAAAAAGTAGTAAAAACATATTTTGTTTTAATATGAAATTTTAAAATAATATCGGACAATGGAACAGTTTATTATGTATTGAATCTGATGAATTTCCATTTTGTATGTGTGTGTGTGTGTGTGTGTGTTAAGAGCTAGATAGTTTTAGTTTTGTATCACTAGTTTTCAGTTACCTTTCAAGTATGAAGGCTAGTGGATGGTACTTTGTTGTTCAAACCGTAATAGATGGAGAGCAAGAACAAAGATTGGTGCAAAATAATAAGTGGATTCATTTTATTTTGTTAGGTGCTCATCAGCTGCTTACAACCTAAAATATTTGAAAATCAGAGTTATTACAGATGTTGACATACTTATGGATAAGAGGGTGGTTGTGGATGCCTATATATGTATCATGATGTAGCGAAGATTCCGATAGAGTTAATGAAGTCATAAAATGTTGTTTGAAATAAATAAAGTTTGTGAGGGAAGGTTCCAGAACGCTGAAATAGTAATTAGAACTCATGGAATTAAAAACCCAGATGATTATGTAATGAAGTAACTGAAAATAGATTAATGGTAGTAAAGACGGATATGAATTGAAACCAGCCACTTATGAATGATGTAATTTTAAAAATTCAGAAAGAGTTGGACTGGTGAGTGACGTAATAAATAAATAAGGGAGGGTAATGTTACCATGGCAAAGAAAGCTTTTTTTATTTTATTTTAACACATAGATATTGGTACAAGGAGGCACCAAATACATATGCTCTACACAGATCTCATTTGATATATATGAGGGCAGTGATACTAGCCGGGTGCCCAAACCGAGGCAGGTGGTTTTCTTAGGGGGTCACACCCGGAGCCTTCGACCTGAAGGTCTGATAAACAAGGTAGTGGAGCATCGTAAGGAGATGCGATCCCACAGTAGCCGGTGACCAATTATTGGTTCATACCCCATTCGTTCCTTCAGTATACTGGTGTCCATGTGCACGATTGGTTTGGAATGAGGGTTTTCCAACTCCCCTAGGTGAACTCTCCATGTCCACCAAACCGGTTAAAGCACCGGACATTCGTTTTCGTATTCTCAATTTCGTAAACAACAGTGATGCCGTGAGAAGACAGTGAGTAGGACTTCCCTGGCAAAGGCTATATACGCGTGGCCATATGAGAGCATTTCAAGAGGGAGAGCGAACTATCCCCACTCTCGGCCATATCAGGGCATTTGCGGGCTGGGAAAGAAAGATTTATTACTTTTCCTTTTTATATACATAGATCTAGTTTTAGGCGTTTGATTGCTATCGCTTTGGCAAATTTCAAAAGATTTGAGTTTGATTGTTTGTTAGTTACCTTGAAGGACTTGAGTTTATCGACTTCGTGTCCTGTGTCAAGGAAATTCCTTGCGATGGCACTGCTGAATGTTTTTAGTACTTTTGATCCTAAACTCTTCGGAATATGTTCTTTGAATCGGACGTACGCTCTCCTTTCTGTTCTACTAATGTAGCAGATACATGTAAATTTGTAATAGATGGAGTGGCATTCGAAACCGACACTTAGTCTCTAAAAGTTGAATACGATAATTACTTATCCTTAGTTTCATATAATAACAGATCGAGACAAGTATGTATTCAGTAGATATATTATAACAGTTTTTCTTGAGAAATTTACTTTTAAAGAAGAATGTTACTAAACTCAAAGGGCTCTAGTTGTTCCAAAAGTTTAACTTACTATAGACATGTATATGTGCGTGCATTTTCTTCTCAATACATATTGGTCTCTTTGTTCAGGTATGGATACACAATATTAAGTGTTTTAAACATTATGGTTTTAACACATTATAGTACTGTATCATTACATTTACTGGTTAGTCATTGTTGAATAACATTATTACTCTTGGTCCTTAGTAAATTAAACAATAGATAACTTTATATATCATGTAGATTTTTATGCTGTTTCTTCCTCCCTCTCTCTCCGTTCTGAGATATCTGTATCTTAAATCATATTGCATTATCTATCGTTATCATGCTTACTTACTTACTTACTTACGTCTGTTACTCCTCTTGGAAAAGCATATGTCGCCCACCAGGATAATAATTTTGCGTTATATTATGGATGTCAAGCAGCACTTATAACCTACCGATATGTTATATTAATTGACAAATCACCATAGAAATCTTGCTTTATTTCATAATGTGTGTGTGTGTTGGTACAACCTAATTTATTGGTATGTAATGAAGCAGAACAAAATGTCACAGTGCAATTACTATTCATATGAAATCACCTATACAAACACTATCCAGGGCTCTCATTTCGATTGTTATATGCATTTGTCTTCTAACTCATTTATTTGGTTATTGATATCGCGAACTGACCTAGCCGGACAACAATTGAAAACCTGCGATCATTGAACAACTGTTTCGTCCTAGTAAGGGAATCCTTAACAATGGGGATTCGAAAAGTCTTTTTATGATCTCAACAAAATTCAGTAATCTCTATAAGTCATCCTACAGTTAATTATCATGTGAACATTAGTGACTTACTTTCAAGGGAAATTTCCGGAGTTCACTAGTATACTTTATCGAACTCTGTCCTGGACAATCCTTTCCAGTTGCTTCCAATTCTCGACTCAATGTGTCCCTTAGTCTTCCTCTTTTCCGTTTCGCTTCAGGATTTTCAGGTATTTAAAAGTTTCCACCCGTTTCAGAGTTTCTCCATCAAGTGTGATTGGGTTGATGTTCTTCATGTTGTATCTGAGGATGATGCTTTTTCCCTTGTGTATGTTGAGGCCTACTCATGCAGAAACTTTTGCCACACTGGTTGTCTTGACTTGTATTTGTTGGTATGTTTCGGATAGAAAGACTAATTGTCTAGTTGCATCCAAGCTGTCGATTGTATTCCATGCTTTCCGTCAGCTATGATAGTCTTCATAATCCAGTCAACCACCAAAAGAGAAAGGAAAAGAATAAACAACCTTGTCTAACTCCGATCCCCACTTCGAATTCGTCTTTCAGTTTTCCTTTATAAATGAACTATTGAAATGTACTTGGAATAATTACTAATTGTTAATATCTAAATTAAACTAGTTTACCTGTATCCCTTTTTAACTGTTTAACCATTATAATAAGGTTAATGCTTCATTGTTTACTATGAGGCTGATATTGTAGAGCTTTATGTAATAATAACAATAGTATATAAACTAAAGCTTTTTCTTGACTTATCTTTCAATAGTAACTAGTTATTGGAGATCGAAGTTCATTGAATAATTTTGAACTGATTATTGGATGTTTCAAAATGGAAAGTTTTATTGAATGAACTATCATTCTTAATTCTGACCAATATTATAATCTAAACATTTTCAAATATCTAGATTTTGTCTATAAAAGATTAATTTCATTTCCTATACACTTTCTTAATATTACAAAGTGTAATGTGAATCAATGGTTTAATAGGTAAAACACCTGATCAATAAATCACAGATTTCAAGCCCTCTACACCTTATTATTGATCAACCAGTTAGTGTCACTGTTTGTCATATACAAGTATCATGGTTTAAAGCCATATACTTCGTAAATGTCTTGTATTGTCCAACCCTTCCAGTTTACTCACAAACAACATTGACTAGAGTTGCTCAGTATAACTGATTGACTGAGGTTCCAGGAAACAAAAAAATCACTGACCAACTAACAGAATCATAATTTTCATTGATATATAGAATGTTTTATGAATTACTTATCAAGTGATAAAGAATTAGTCAGGGTCAAAAATAAAGACTGAATAATAGCTAACATGGTTTGACTTTTGCTTATTTTTGTTAAATCAATATATCTTAGTGCTTTAAACTCTTGGATTTCAACCAAAAACTTTCCCTATCAAGTTCGGTATAAGCAGCTATCACAAATAGATAGTGTTACTCAAATTCATTCTTGTATTGTTTGTTTGAATCCTCCTATTGATGTGTAAGACTGCAATTAATCAGTCACTTATTGGCATATGTGTATCCTGTGCTGATTGCCTAGATATTGCCTTTAGCATCGAGTAAGTAACGCAGTTGTTAGGAAACGGGTACTAGGTAAGGATGGCAAATCTATTGACGAACTAGTGAAACTTCATCAGTTGAGATGGCTAGGACACGTGTTACGTATGTCCAACGACCGACTGCCTCGACGTGCGATGTTTAGTGGTATAGGAGTACGTTGGAAGAAAGAGCACGTTTCGTCCTATTTGTAACTCATCGGTTGGATATACATGCATCCCAGAGTTGATATTCACTGCTCTTCAAACGCCATCGCTACTAAGTCCAGATAGCCACTAGCTCATGCTTTTTTGGTAAATGAATTTCTTCTTTTACCATCTTCAAGTTAATGTTTATCATCAACAAAGTTAACATTTTCATCATAAACTAAATCAACCTACCAATGCTATTTATGTATCCTATTGAGACTACCTTTTTATCTATAATCTTGGGTTATCAATTCCTTCTCTTCCAATTCATTAAATGGATGTTAACAAATATCCTCAGTAGTAATTTCAAACTCCACTGGATTATACTCTTTATATAACATCTCCAAACCCTCATCTTCCCGATTACTGTTTATACTCTTACTACCTCTACCACTACGGGATTTGAATAGACAACTGCATCTCTGTGCTAATGTGGTATGGCAACTCGAACTGATGCACGTACGTACGAAGTTCTACGTTGTTACTGACTGACTGACTGAAAAATATCACATTTCTATGTGTTTATTCTAAACTGCTTTTCTCATTTATTTATTTATTTTTCCGTTTATTGTGTTTATTTTTTTCTATTCTTCTTCTTCTTCTTCTTCATTTCAATGGAACATTTGTGTATTACTTATTTTAAAACTGACCTTGACCGAGTATTATGTGTTTTGAAACTAGAATATGGAAACTTTTGTGTATGTTGGTTAATATTATGACTGTTTTTTATTGAGGTTAATAATTTCAAAGTATATTATAGCTTATATGTATATATAATTCATTGTGAAATGCGAACACACTCTTAGTAAATTTGACGTATACATGCTTACTTACACGCACATTTTGGCATTCTTAAGTTAGTTTACATTCTTTGATTATTATTATGATTAGTAGTAGTAGTTGTTGTTGTAGTAAGTAGTATTGGTGTTGTTGTTTTATTTTTGTGTTCTAACTCTTATATGTTCCTAATAAAGGAATCAAATAAAGTTTGTTATTATTATTGTTATTGGAACTTTTAACTAAGTCAATCAATAACGGTCGGGTTATCGGACAGCTTTTTAAGTTCTTATTAACTCTTATTGTTGTTTTCGTATTCTGATACTTGATCATTCTATAGTGTACGTATGTATATATATATATATATATATATGTGTATGCTATTCAATGTACATGTTGGCTTTTTTGTAGTCCATTGTTATAGTAAACAACAAGGTTATTAATAGAAATTATGTTAAACATTGAACCAACTTAGTAATAGGTGTATAATTGAATTATTCGATTTTATTTTGTGTACTGCATAGACGGGATTTTGAATGAGTAATCAATCATTAGATTATTTTGTGGTTTACATTACGGACTGACCGTAGATAAGGCAGGCAATGAATATCACAAAGTATTTGGTAGTTGTTCCTCTCTCTTGTATGGAACTCCTCAACGGTACACACTACGATTTCGCTAGCGGTTTAACCCAGGACCTTCAAATGTCGAGACAAATATTCAACCTTTAGATCATTGAGTTCGCATCAAACGATTTACATTTCTAACTTTAACCATCTTTTGATATTGCATAACCATCTTTCAATATTGTAATGTCTAAACTCTATTGGTCACGAATTTTCACCTACACCCCTGAAGCAAGTCATTAGCAAACACACTATATTATTTTTGTTATGGTTTTTTTGTGGTTTTGGTCCCCATGGTTATCCATGAGGATGTTAATTCGTGACGAATATCACCTACAAATGTATTTCAATCTATTCCACTATTTATTTACGCTGAATATGTTGACTAGATTTTCCTGTGTTATTTCTTAATTACAGGAAGTCGTATTGGTCGACAACCTAATGCAATTAAATATTATTGTGCTCGAGAAATTTCCCAATTAACTAATTCTAATGATTGTGAAGCAACCACAACTATGAATCCATCTTCAAGTTCATCAAATAAACATGAATCTAACCGACGTAATTCAGTTAGTCATAGTAGTACTAGTAGTGGTACTACAAATCTAAGTTGTAACATCAGCAATAATGGTAATAAAAATAATAATATTACTGCTAATCATGATGATAATAATCATAGCAACAGTAAGAATAATAATCTTAATGAACATGATTTATTGTCAATTGCTGAAGAACATTGTAGATCAGTATTAGGTCAATCAAATTATCCATCATCTAGTTGGCCTTCATTTAAACGTATGATGTCTAATCTTGATCATTTGGATTCAATTAATAACACTACTATCGCCAATACGACCACCGTCTCCATAACAACAACAACGACAACAACAACAATAATATCAACAACTGGAGTATCTTTAGTTCCATCAAGTATTCCTTTAACATCAACATCTACAGTAAATCATTTCATTGAACACAGTAATCATAATTATAACGAGTTACAAAATAGTGGTGATTCGTTGAAAAATGGATCTTTATTATCTTTATCACCGTCTTCATCTACATCACCATCGTCAGGGATTAAAAGTCATATAAAGTATAAGACAGATTCACGTCCACAATATCTTAATTCTCAGTCACGTCCTTTTCATCATTATCCTCCGCCACCACCGCCGCCTCATCATCCTGCACAATCATCTATTTCTCAGAACAATTGTTTTAATAACAATAATGTTGGTATGAGTGGTAGCAATAATAATATTGCTAATGGTGTCGTCCTTCTCTCTGGCCGTGCTGATTCAATTTTACCTTCTTCTACTTCCAATGGTGCTAGTCATGGTAGTGATTATCTTTTAATTGATCCTTCAAGAAATATTACTAAACGACGTAAAACAATACCATCTGAAATAGATGTTAACTTAGAGATCTCTGATAATAGTATTACATCTTCAAAATTAACACCTATTAATTCAGTACACATACATGATGATGATGATGATGACGTTGATGATGAAGGCTGCGATCATGATGATATTGATGATGTTAATGATAATGTTGAGGACGTTGAAAATGGCAATTCTACTAGTGGTTCTAATGGTAATGAACATTTAAATCAACGTTACAGTCATAGACATCAACAACAATATCATCATCCTGTACACCAAGCTGTACATCATCGTCACCAACAACAAAACCGTCGTAACGCGGACTTGACAAGTTTGAATGAAGAGAATATCCATAATGTTATCGGTTCTGTTAATAATGATTTGGATATCAGTAATAGTTGTAGAAGTAATAATAATAATAATAATAGATATGAGAAACTTGTAGATAATGGGAAAATTCATAACATATCAGTGGATAATTTCTCATTTATTAATCAATCAAGGCATTTATCGAATCAAATTAACTTGCCAAATGATAATGAACATAATATAAACATTAATAATAATAATGAGAATTGTTCCACTGTACTTGAACAATTACAATTTAGAAAGTGAGTTTTGTGAATTGCTTTATCTATTTTGGAGTATTCTAGTTTTAAAAAAAATGTTTGAAATGTTTTTCTTCTGCAGTATACAAATGGTTGGTTGGTTGGTTGGTTTGTTGTTGTTTTTATTTCAACTGATAGTTTAATGTGATACTATTAATAAGTCTACTGAATTCCTGAACTCAACTACTATTATTTTTGTTTTATAGATAACCTGAAGATAGTGCTATTATCTCTTAAAGATACTAAGTGTAAATTATGTAACCAGATTACAGTTTCTGTTATCACGATCATGTGATATATTTTTTTTTGTAATGATGATGACCGATCTTTATTTTGACAAGGTTATGTAATTAATGTGTTTGTTCATTGAATTGACGCACTTTATTAGTTGAAGGTTGTTTCTCTTGTAGCATTTAACACTTAATATTAAATTACATGTGATTATAAAGTAACAGATATTGATTAGTACTTGTATTGATGATACCTTACAAAACTATCGTATGCATCTTATTTCCTTTTGAATTATTGGCAAAATTCATTAAAATTGATATTTCATAGTTCCATATAAGTCGTAAGATGGATTAAACTGAAAAATCGAAGTGAAGACCGGTATCAGGCAAGGTTGCTTACTCTCACCCTTTCTCTTTCTTCTGATGATCGACTGGATCATCAACACGTCAACATCTGAGGGGGAGCATTGAGATACAATGGACATCTAGGATGCAGATGGATGATCTAGACTTCGCAGATGATCTGGCCATTCTATCCTAAACGCGACAACAAATACAGGAGAAGACGATCAATGTAGCAGCAGTCTCTGGAGCAGTAGGTCTCAATATGCACAAAGGGGAAAGCAAGATTCTCCGATACAACACAGCATGCACCGATCCAATCACAATTGACGGAGAAGATTTGGAAGATGTAAAACCTTTACATATCTGGCCAGCATCATAGATGAACACAGTGGATCTGACGCAGATGTGCAGGCACGGATCGGCAAAGCAAGAGCAGCATATCTACATCTGAAGAACATCTGGAACTCAAAACAACTGTCCACAAGTCAACACCGAAATCATAATTTTTAATACAAATGTCAAGACAGTTCTACTGTATGGGGCGGAAACTTGGACAATTACGAACGCCATCATACAGATGATTCAAGTGTTTATTAACAGTTGTCTACGCAAAATACTTCAGATCCGTTGGCCAGACACTATTAGCAACAACCTACTGTGTGAGAGAACAAACCAGATTCGAGTGGAGGAAGAAATCAGGAAGAAGAGCTGGAAGTGGATAGGACATATTGAGGAAAGCACCCAAGTGCATCACAAGACAAGCCCTCACTTGGAATCCTCAAAGCCAAAGGAAAAGAAGAAGACCAAAGAACACATTACGCCGGGAAATGGAGATAGACATGAGAAAAATGAATAAGAATTGGATGGAACTAGAAAAGAAGTCCCAGGACAGAGTGGGATGGAGAATGCTGGTTGGCGGTCTATGTTCGATCGGGAGTAACAGGCGTAAGTAATTAAGTAAGCATAAGTCGTAAGGTTTGGATGATTTATAAAGACATGAGCTTCTAATTGGAATTTTCACAGGTCACTATTTCATGGGAAAAAAAAGGATTATTCCTTAAACCTTATGACTTTTACTACTACACGTGCTTCAGTTTGAACAACCGCGGGTAGGTGAGCATACTAATTGTCAACTTCACTTACTGTCTTTTTTCTATCATGTAGAACACTGTATATGAAAAAGTTAACAACTTGATCAATAAAATTCTATCCAATTATAATATCGAGTATTATTTATACATCCGTGTCAATGTAAAAATCACAATTCTACATAAGTTAGTCAGTCCACCACTCGTGGGAATGAATATTTATTTATTTATTATTTTATTTGAACACATAAATATTGGTACAAGAGAGCGCCAATATATATGCGCCACACAAAACAACGGGAATTCGAAGAGAAGTAGAAAGAAAAAAAAAAACTAAGGAACGCAAAAGAAAAGGAGAGTAATGACGAAGAGGTACAATCAGAAGAAATCTTTCAGTTAAGGAAGACAAACACTTTTTATGAAGAAAGTAAAAGGTTACAGCAGGATCGCCACTGGCTTCTATTCTGAGCCATATCTGATAACGTCTCTAGCCACTGTGTAGCACCATCTCTCGGACCCCAACCAGGGAGTCGTGAAGGACCGACACAAGCCAGTCCTTTGCAGCTTTCTTTCATGCCACGACACCATGTCATAGACTGACCACCTCTCCGCTTCTTCCAACCAGTCCCAGAGTCGGCAAATAATGCACGACGTGGAATTCTCTGGGACGACATTCGGAGAACATGTCCAAGCCACCGAAGTCGGTGTTTCAAGATGGTGACACCAATTGAGTTATCATCTCTGTGCCCGAACACACGATGCCGAACCTCTGCATTACTACTGACATGGTGTTGCCACTGAATGTCAGCAATCCTTCGGAGACAGCGATGATCGAACACAGAGAGTCGTCTAACGTCCTCAACTCGGAGAGGCCAGGTTTCACAAGCATAGAGCAAAACTGCTCTCACCGACGCGTTGTAGATCCGGCCTTTTACAGCCAGACTAACATCACGAAGGCGCCAAAGATGGCCCAGATTGGCATAAGCCGCTCTGGCTTTCACTATTCGTGCATTGATCTCATCACTCACACCCCCACCAGCACTTATGCAGCTACCCAGATACACGAACTTCTCAACTACGTCTATCTGCTCACCGTCCAGGGTGAGTACAGGATTAGAATCCTGCCAGTCTTGTAGAAGTACTTTGCACTTCGAAGGTGCAAAGCACATACCATACCTACGGACACTGATTGCCAACTGATTAAGTGCGGATTGCATGCCTTGGGCATTATCGCACAGTAAGACAATATCGTCCGCATACTCAAGGTCGAGAAGTCTTTCTCCAGGCAACAGATCCATACCACCATTACTTACATTCATCAGAGCTGTTTCCAGAATGTCATCGATGGCAAAGTTGAAGAGGAATGGTGAGATTGGGCAACCCTGCCTAACCCCACTGCTCGAATGGAACAATGGAGAGAGGTGGTTGTATGCCCTCACTCTGCCTGAGGTGTTTTTATACAGGGCTTTTAGGATGTTAATAAACTTCTCAGGCACACCCTTCTTCAACAGACAATCCCAGAGAACAGTCCTATCCAACGAATCGAAGGCAGCCCTGATGTCAAGAAACACTACGATTGTTGGCCTTTGAAAAGTATGGCGGTGTTCTAACATTTGGCGGAGGGTGAAGATATGATCAATACATCCTCGACCAGAACGAAACCCAGCCTGCTCCTCGCGAGTCAATCTTTCTCGGGTTTTGAACAACCTACGAAGTATGACGGAAGCCAATAGCTTGGACGCAATCGGAAGTAAACTTATCCCCCGGTAGTTGTTACAGGAACGACGTGAACCCTTTTTAAAGATAGGGACAACTATCGACTCATTCCATGACGTTGGCACACTCTCTAGTTCCCAAACCTTTGTGAACAACGTCGTCAATTCCTTAGTCAAAAAGTCACCACCATCTTTAAAAAGAGCCGGAGGTAAGTCATCTGGGCCAGGTGATTTGTAACGCTTCAAGAGTTGGAGTTCCTTGCGGACTTCCTCCTCATTTGGTGGATCAGTCGTCACCGGCCATGGAGGGCAGGACAGTCTAACCGATGTTGCCGGAGCAGCAGGCCAGTTGAACTGCCCTTCGAAAAATTCTGCCCATCGTCCAAGACGTCGATGGATGTTAGTGATTGGCATCTCATCATCCTCGCAGATTGTTTCACTCACACCAGACTTCTTGCTCCCAGTGGCTCGGATGAGTTGGAAGAGCTTCCGGTAGTTACCAGATGCAGCTGCTGCTTCCAGCTCATTAGCACGCATCGACCACCAGGCTTCTCGGTCCTTACGCAAGCTTTGCCCGATTTCCTTACGTAAAATCCTTCGTTTATGGTCAAACTCACGGTTACCCGGAGTAGACCGACGGGCTTCAATGAGTTGTAAGGAACCAGAAGAAACCCAGTGCTTAAAAGCGGGACGTTTCGCAAACCCACAACTGACTGTTCCCGCCATTTTCATGGCGTCATGCAATTGCAACCAATGCTCATCTATACTTTTCGGTGGAGTGGTAGCTAGCCTAGAGGCTAGCTCGGTTCGATACTTACTTGCAACAGAAGTTGCAACCAGCTTGCTAATATCAATCCGTTGATGGCGGTCACTTCGTTGTGCACTGAAAAGTAAGGCAAGGTTGGCGCAGACCAAGGCATGGTCAAAGTCCAGATAGGTACTCCAGAAGGAGCGGCAGTCTTGTACATAACCACGCCAGTGGTAGCTGATCGCGATGTGATCAATCTGAGTCCAGGCTTGAGATGCAGAGGGAGGACGCCAGGTGGCACATCGGCGATGACTGTGCCGAAAGTTAGTGCTAGCCAGAAACAGGTTGTGGCCTGTGCAAAGTTGCAGTAGACGGTCCCCGTTATCTGACCTGCGACCAACGAGTCCCCATCGGCCACCTAAACGACTCTCTTCTGTGCCTAGACGCCCGACCTGAGCATTCAAGTCTCCGGCTAGTACTACAATATCTGTCGAACGCACTTTCTGGAGAAGAACTGATAACTGGTGGTAAAACGCATCCTTGATTGCATCCGGGCTGCAATCTGTCGGGGCATAGGCGGAGATGACGAAAAGACATCGTTTCTCACGCCGATTTCTTCTCACTTTGATGGAACTTTCTAATCTAACAGCACATAACCGACTGTTAATGGAAATCCAATCGATTAGTGCTGCCTCAGCTCTAGCGCTTAGTGCGACACCAACGCCAGCAAGATCAGCCGAAGATGCCACAGGGTCCCCGGATAAGCGCACGTAAAACAAGCTTTTTGAAGTGACAGATGTAGAGCGAATTTGTGATACTTCGCTAGAGTCTTGAATACGGGTCTCGGATAGACAACAAACATCAATATTAAGACTTTCCAAAGACATAGCCAGCCCTATCTGTTGACCAACCTGCATAAGTGTGCGAACTTTGAAGGCAGCCAGTTTGAATGGCGCACGTGGTTTCAGAAAAACTGCTTCAGTACTCATATTCGATGGTAACATACAACTTTCAACCGGACAGTGACTCGAGAACGTTTAGATACAGTCGAATTTCCACCAAAGCCGAGCCGCTGTATAAGTATGAAAGAGGGTGAATAATGTGGGAAATAATAATAATAATGATAATAATAATAATAATAACGACAATAATAGTAATAATAATAGTATCAATAATGACAATAATAGTAATGATAATTATTTGAATTGATTGATTGTTTTTGTTTTTCGGAGCGATGAAAGTAGTTGCCAAAGACATAGAGTTCATCGTTTGTGTGTGGGCTGTGATACTGCCCGGGTGCCCAAACCGAAGCAGGTGGTTTTCTTAGGGGGCCACCCCCCGAGCCTTTGACCTAAAGGTCTAACCCACAAGGCAGTGGAGCATCGTAAGGAGATGCAGTCCCATGGTAGCCGGTGACCAACGATTGGTTCATACGCCATTCGTTCCCGCAGGATACTGGAGCCCATGTGCACCATTGATTTGGAATCCGGTTAAAGCGCCGGACATTCGCTTTTCGTCCTCTCATTTTCGTAAACAACACCCCCGCCACGAGAAGGCAATGAGTAGGACTTCCCTGGCAGAGGCTGTATACGCGTGGCCGTGTGAGAGTATTTCGAGAGGGAGAGCGGACTCTCCCCACTCTCGGCCGTACCAGGGCATTCAGGGGGCTCAGTAGTAAATTTTCTAAATGTAACACTGAATGACATGGATTTAAATTGTATACAAAATATTACACCTTTCAGGATTACAGTTTAACTCACTGATCAATGTCCACTAAGACGAAACATAGATGAATATTTTCAATCACTAAATATCTATATGACAATATCTCGACGATGAATTAACGTCGTATCTGTGGCCTAATAGGAAATAATCAACTGGTGTAATCTTCATTGATAATTCGGATTATTAAGAGAGTATAGCTTGATTTTAGTTTAATAAGTAAATTCTGTTTTGATCAATTAATTAATCAATTAAATGCGACGTAGAACTTGGCACATGTGTACATCGGTTCAGGTTAGCATACATAGGGATGAAATTGTTCCTTGAAGAAGAGGAATGAATATTAAGTTTTTTTTCACAAACACCATGAGATTATTCATCCTTGTTCAGTATTAAATATACGGTATTAAGCACTTTGTAGTATTTTTCCTCATTTACTGGGTGATCGGTACATATACAATCGTAATTATCAGTAGTGATTTCATTTCAAGCATCTAAATTTATCTAAACATCAGTATAGGGGTTGTGGAGATTGTTAAGTTTTTTTGATTGAGATCATGAATCAATTGATGTTAGACCACCGTTGGAAACCTGGAAGCACTGGACGGCCGTTTCGTCCTAGTATGGGACTCTTCAGCAGTGCGCATCCACGATCTCGCTCCCTGCGAGATTCGAGCCCAGGACCTATTGGTCTCGCGCCAGGCGCTTAACCAGCTAGACCACTGAGCCGGCATCCAATGGTGTTAGTGTCTAACATGTTGAATATTGATAGATTGTCGGATGAAATAATTAACTTTATAGTTTGAACTAAAATTCTCAGTCAAAATTATGCTATCATATACAGCACTCACCCATTAACTAAATGGAAGAATATCGTATATGTCTTGGTATTGCATACGTATTGAACATTTAAAAAACATATGAGCTGCAAATCCTTGAACTCTTATTCTCTCTCTTCCAAAATGTTATATTCTTAGTGTTATAACTTGCGACCTGGGTGTCCTGCTAATGTATAAGTAACGATACCGTCAATTAGAGAGGAGTGAATTATCGATCGGATCAATGACGCATAAAACCCGTACGAGCAATCTAGAGTACTTATCGGTTCTGCTTTCTGTTTTAGTCCAGAACACCAATCTCAGCCTCTGCAATGTGTATCGTTTATTTCAAACACACTAGGTTTATATACCAACCAAAACAGACCCCATTGTACCAATAAAATAGGAAACAACATTTATACAAGATTTAGGCAAAAGTGGCTGTGAATGTGGGAGGTAGTGATTAATAGATAGGGCATAATTCAAGAATGGTAAATCGTATAATAATAGTTCATAGGTTAAAATAAAGCTCATAATAAGAGGGACATGAATATGGATAGTTTGGTTATTTAACAATTATACGATAAAAATATACGCATAGTATTGGTCCATAAATAGATCCCAAAAGTTACCATTCATTATGCTTACCGGGACATAATACTTAATTATTATATAAACTTAATAACAGTTAGACCAACAGGATGTTCTAGTCCTTTTATTAACTATAACTAGTTTTCAACTGTTATTTCAAATTTATGGAATAAATACTCTTTTAAAACAATTTGATTATATCTGTAAATCGGTATGCATTCTGTAATTATTTCCAGTATATCATTTAATTAATTAATTGGGGTGGTGTATTTATTAACTATTTATATTAGTCGTAATATCATTTTTGTGAATATGATCAAGTGGTAGGTATCTATCTGTCTAAGAATGTGGTTTCTATGTATATATATATATATATATATATATATATATATATATATATATATATATATATATATATATATAGAGAGAGAGAGAGAGAGAGAGAGAGGGGAATGTGCATTTTCGTATATGACAGAATCGTATACCATAACATATAAAGTATGTGTAAAGTATGTATAGAAAGATCTGTCTAGAATTAACTTTTAAAAGATTTCATTTTACTGTAAAAAGTATCCTTTTTTTTAATTGCAATATCAAAAAAAATAATAATTTTTTTTTGGTTTTTACGTCAGACTACTAAGACAACTCGAAAAGTAAAACGTGACATAAATGTCACATTTCATTACATGAATGGTATATTAATTTCATGTTACATAATTATGTAATTGTAAGAAAATATAATCACATTCTTTTTTTATTGTCGTTTCGCTAATATTATTACTTTATCATGTGATATATGTGTGTGGTGTATAGATCATAAAATGTTCATTGTAAATGATTGTTTGTTTAAGTAAAGATGAATAGTGACTAGCAGTGGAATCCAGGTCGAGTGTTTCGTCCTATATGGAACTCATCAGGTGGATGTACCTGCAAAGCGCGTTCTGTATTCTCACTGCTAGCCACTATCCATCTTTGCTTAAAAAGTTTGTGACTTAAGGCTGTATCGAGGCAATCCGTACAGGATGCACATATGCCAATAAAAGACTGATTCAATTGCAATCCTAAATAACAATGGAAGGATACAAATAAAACAACACCAAGTGGGTTGTTTTTTTCTTTGATTGTTTTTTATGTTACAATTTTACATTGTAACTATGACTGCTTGATTTATATGTGTTGAACTTTTTCAGTGATTAACTCGATAAGAATATTTAAAGTATCCCATTTTTATGTAATGTGATAGCATTAGTCTATTATAACAATTTTCAGTTTTCTTTCTCATGTTAGCAAACACTTCGGATGTTCTCATTTCAGAATTTATTCTTGAGTATTATTTATTTATTTGAACAAATACATATTGGTACAAAGGGGCACCGAATACATATGCACCACATAAATTATTCGATTGATGTGAGGGATGGGATGCTGCCTGGGTGCCTAGACCGAAGCAAGTGGTTTTCTTAAGAGGGCACACCCAGAGCCTTCAACCTAAAGGTTTGATCCACAAGGCAGTGAAGCAACATCAGGAGATTCAATCCCATGTTAGCCGGTGATCAACTGTAGATTAATACGCTATTTGTTTCCCTAGGATCCTGGTGCCTATATGCATCGTTGGTTTGGATTCAGGGTTTTCCGTCTCTCCTAGGTGGATCCTCTGTATCCACTAACCCGGTGAAAGCGCTGGTCATTCGCTTTTCGTCCTCTCATCTTCGTAAACATCAGTAATATAGCGAGAAGGCAGTTGGTAGGACTTCCGTGGCAGTGTTTGTATGTACGTGGCCCTGTGACAGCATTTGGAGAGGTAGAGCTGCCTCTCACCACTCTCGGCCGTACAAGGGCATTTATTATGGACAGATTAAATTTCGTGTTTGAACTTCAAGGCTGCTTTTAATTATCGCTATACTTTTTATAATCCATTAAAAGAAATATATGTTTTTTTTATATATTTTTTGCCAGTTATCCATTAATGGATAGATCATCAGTTATTGTTGAAACTCAGTCAAAAGATTCTCATGCGGTAACTACTCATTTAAATCAATCCTATTTACGACCTACACAATTAAATTTAACAACTGGAAGACATTTACCTGATGAATCCTATTCATTGTCTTATCTTTCATCTTCATTATCATCATCACCAACATTATCATCGACATTAACTACTACATCATGTCCACGTTCATCTGTGATATCAGACTATTCTGACTTCAATAATCAATTATCTGCTGATGTTAGTGATAATAATAACAATAACAATAATAATAATAATAATCAAGTATGGTTACCAAAACAACGATATATTAAATCTAGTCGGAGTTTACCAAATGAACAAACTAATAATCAACTAATAAGTTCAAATAATAATAATAATCAGAATGCCAATAATTGTTTAGATTCAAATTCATTAGGATTTCTCAATGGTGGACGTAATGTTGTTGATATAACTGGATTAACTGAGACTGAACCAACATCAACAACTACTACACCGTGGTTTGCAGCAGCAGCGGCAGCTGTAGCTGTTGTTATGGCTGCATCTCAATCATCATCATCATCATCAACTAATTCCGCTTTATTAGATCCATATACAGTATCATCAAATTTAAATGAATGTTTTGGAATCAATGATCGTAATAATAATAATTCAGGTATAAATCAAGTAAATAATCGACGTGTCCCAGTGAATACAACTAATTTTTCAAAGGTAAGAATAAGATAATTGATGAATGGACTGTTTTCTCTGATTATGAATCAAAAACTATGTTAATAATGTCAAATTAATAAATCTGAGACTTAGTGTGTTGTGTTTGTTTGTTCTAGTGGATCATGATTTTTAGGTTGTTTATCGAGGCAAGTTTTTCATTGTATTCTGGAGTATTCAGTAGAATGGTTAAACAAAGGATAGCATAAGTCATCTGTGAAATCGAGTCTGCAATATGTAGTAGACATAAAATATTCAACCTAACTGGTCACCAGAAGCAGTTTGTAACAGAACACTTTTGTATTGGTTGTTTCTAAATGACCTATGTTAGATAACGAAAACCTATATATTAGGTAATGGATAAAATGATTATTATTTACATTTGTTTATGAAGACTTAAATGTCCTGATATAACAATTAAAATAATAGTCGCCTACATCTTATAGGTAGCAGGTACTTCGATTTGTGTAATTATATGATTACACTAGTTCCTCACATCTGGTATGTGTCACAAAGTGGAAGGTTAGAAGACTGATATATTTTTTTCTTGAGAACGCTCCGAACACCAACTATCTATTCTTTTAAAGTAGTCGGTTCTTGAAACTAGAACAAAAAATGAAAGGCACAACGTATAGAAAAAGCTGTACTGTGAAGGTTAAACTATGAAAAATAGAAAAAGTATTGATAAGATTTTTTTAGCGGATTTTATTATTATAAGCAATAATAAATAGTGGCTAGCAGTAGAATCCGGGACGCACGTTTCTTCCTTTTTGGGACACATTAGCTGGATATACCTGCATCTCAGAGTTGATTTTTACCCTGGACACGAACCCAGTATCATTTACTTCCAACTCGATCCCGTTATCCACTTAGCTACTGAGCCCACATAGCCACTAGCTTGTGCAATGGGGTGAAGTTTTTATTCATTTTCCTATTGTTCGTTTGAATCTTGTCACTGATATTCAATACTGCAATGAAATACGAAAATGAATTAGAATTTTACTATTGTCGAATTACAATCAAATAATCATTATGAATTTACTAGTATTTTATTTTGGAATTTTGCAAAAATAGTCTAATTATTCAAATAATTCTCTACATTTGCCCCCAAATGCCTTGAAACGGCCGAAGGTGGGGAGAGTCAGCTCTGTCAAAACGCTCTTACATGGCCACGCGTACACAGCCACAGGGAATTCCTACTCGCTACCTTCTCGTGGCATTACTGCTGATTACGAAATTGAGAGGTTGAAAACGAATGTCCGGCGCTTTCACCGGGTTGGTGGACACGGAGCGTCCACCTAGAGGAAATAGAAAATCCTTATTCCAAACCAATGATGCACATGAACCCCAGTATCCTGAAGGAACAATTGGCGTATGAACCAATAATTGAGCACCGGCTACTGTGGGATTGCATCTCCTTACGTTGCTCCACTGCCTTATGGATCAGACCTTCAGGTCGAAGGCTCCGAGTGTATCCCCCCTAAGAAAACCACCTTCCTTTCGGGCCTCGTGCAGTATCGTAGCCCACACACAAATCAAGTGACTTGTGCGGTGCATATGTATTCGGTGCCTCTTTGTACCAATATTTATGTGCTCAAATAAATCAATAAAAGTTTTTCTGTCTGAAAAGTTCCCATTATATTAAAACTTGATTGTATGAACGAAGAATATTCTTTTCAATAATTTCTCATCAGGTTCTGCAATTATCATATTCAAATTTATAATCCATAAAATAGGCCAGATTTCTCTCTCATCCCATGTTGACCATATTTTTTTCTGATGATTTATCGCACAATTTCATTTCACTTATAAACTGATTCAAGTTAACACTTTATCTTAGTCAGCTTCAACATTTACCATTTGATTTGATTTGATATGACAAACAACAATTCTAGATTCACTTATTACAATTTCCAAAGGATGTACTCTGCTTTAAATCTGGCCAATCTTACAGATTATTAATTTGGATATGATAATTGCAGTACCTGATGAGAAATTATTGAAAAGACTATACTTCGTTCATACAAACGTTTTTCTTTCACTGAATTCTGAAAGAAATTATCGATAAACTCCTTACTCAAGTGAATACATAATTCATAAAATATAACTGAATTGAATACAATGTCTAATTTATTCTTTGAGAAGTCAACATATCAAATTATCAGTATGGGGTTGTGGAAGTTGTTGAATTTCTGATTGAATGCGCTCCTCTGTGGAGTCACATCTTAGGACGAAACGGTGATCCAGTTCTTCCAGATTTTCTATTGTAGTTTAATATTAATCGATTCCTGATCTCATATCAAATTATAATTGATTACAAATTTGATAGACACAGGGTATTAGGGAATGATGGTAAATCAGTTGATGCGGTTGTGAATCTTCATCGACTGAGATGGTTGGGCCACGTGTTACGTATGCCTGAACACCAATTACCACGTCGTGCAATGCTGACCAGTGTTGGAGATGTTTGGAAGAATGTTAGGGGCGGCCAAACCAAAACGTGTCATCATTTGTTGAAGTCACTAACTTCTAGTCTGAGCCATGCTGGTAGATGCAAACTACTTGATTGGGGTCCGCGTGACTGTCGTAACCAATGGTTGGAGACTGTTGGTGACATGGCTCTGAATCGATCACAATGGCATCGGTGTATACACTCTCTGTCTTCCCTTAAACTAAGAGAATAAAATCGCTTCATATCTTTCGTCCTACGAACTAAGTCTTTCTTCCTGTACTATATCCTTATTGCAATCATTCTTTTATATATTACCACCTCTGAATTAACTACTTTTATGAATCTGGTGTTCATTTTGTTGTGTTAATGATGTATGGCAACTTGGACCGATGTATATATGTGCCTGGTCTTACGTTCTAACTGACTGACTGACAAATCTGATATTCATTACATTGTACATTTCATATTATATAAGTACTCTATGTTCCAAAATTTATTCTAAACAAAAAATACAATAAAGTTATACCAAGGGTATATTTTGAAGAGATCTGCTTGAATTCATCCTTCAATTATTTTAAGAAAAGAAAAACAGACAAATGTTATTATTAATAATTAGCTGATAGTAGAAAAAATGTATTTTTCACTCAACATGTTATATTTTAATCATGTTGTAGTGTATACTACTTATACTGACAAGTATAAGTAGTATGTTGCACCAAACAAATAGTTGAATTGAAGAGAACAATTAGAATAACAACAGAATGGAAAGAATCATAAAGGATGTAAAGGACAATTTAAGGAATATGTGCAACTAATGTATATTTATTGTATGGTTTTCATATAATTTTGCATTGAGTAAAAAGTTGATAATGTCACTAATTTGTGGTATATTCACTGTGAAATATAACAGTATAATATGCTTATTCATGTTTATGCATTATCCACTTTCAATGAAGATAATGTGTAAATTAATCGGTTATGCAGAACATGTAAATAAATGATTTGTGATCAGTCAGTCAGTCAGTCAGTAACAAAGTAGAACTTCATACGTACGTACATCAGTTTGAGTTGCAATATCACATGCAGTTGTCGATTCAAATGCCGTAGTGGTAGAATTAGTAAGCGTATAAGCAGTAATCGGAAAGATTAGGGTTTGGAGATGTGATCAATACCTATGAGATAACTGTGTTACAATCGGTTAAGGTTAGAGTAAATTGATCATCTATCATATACATAGTGTTCGTTCTACTTCAGTTTAATATTGTTGAACACTAAATATTGTAGACTGTGAAGATTTGATTTATTTGTTTATGTATATTTATACTACTAATAATGTTTTTTTTAAAAAAAATTAATTTTCAAATAATATATCAATTATTCTTTCATGTTATAATTCTTATTCACATGGAAAGCAACGTTTCAAATTAGGTCTACATGAAACTGTCTTAGATCATCAACATTCTGGTAGATCATTTTTGTCAAATTCTTATAATATTAATCCATATGATACTAATACTAATACTACTAGTGGTCCTATGAATGAAAATATATTGAAAATTGGTAAATATGAATCAAATGATACATTACGTTCCTTACATCCATCATTATCATCATCATCAACATCATCAGTAGCATCGTCATTATCTGATGTTACACATCCGTCGACAATAGCTGCTATGCAAGCGGCGGCTGTTGCAGCAGCAGCAGCTGCTACCGCTGCTGGTCTAGTTCTATCCAATAGTCGTGTACGTGGATTATCTGATGAAATTTATCCAAATTTAAATCGTGTCAGCATTTCTAATTCATTGCCTGAATTACCAAATAATTGTTATACATCAACTACACCATCATCATTATCCTCATCATCATCATCACCACCAATAATGGGTAATTTTGGTAGAATTATTGAAAATCTTTCAATGTATTCAACATCATTAGATCGTAATATTCAACCGATTAATAATCTGGATTATCCATCATCATCAACATTATCCTCATCCTCCTCATTATTATTGTCATCAACAGTGAATAATTTCCCTGTTAATCATTCCATTGTAAATACTACATTACCATCGATTACTGTACCAGTTATAACTAATAAAGAAATTAGTCCACGTTTAAAGAATGGTATTAGACCGGTGAGTTTATTAATTCCACTGACATCTACATTCACTTTTTTCAATATTTAAGTAGTATCTATTTTGTATACACTTTATGAATAATAATAGTTTGTTAAAAGTAGTAATGTTTTATATTTGTAATCGTCATTTAACAAAGGGGAATTTGGCCAGAGATTAACTCCATTATCGATTTATTTAATCATTTTGCTTGAAACGTTGAATTTATAATTAAAAAAAAAGTAAGTTGTTTAAACATCAGAATAATTACTCAGCAAACTATAATCGCTATACACATAGTTCCCTTTATCATTTTGAAATGAGCAAGAACAAAGATTCTAGTAGAATAGCATGAATTCATTTTATTTCGTCGGGTTCTCACCAACTGCTTACATAATGGGTTCCTAATTACTTACATGAGAGGGTTTGGTTGGAAGTTATATTGAAGTTATATTCGTATAGTATAGAAAGGGGGTAAATAAATTTAATAGATTGTATACTGTAAATATGTATCTTATGTAAAAGGATTTTGTGACTTAAGTTGAAAGGGTTAGAAATAAGTGATAGGAATAAAATGAGCAAAGCTCCGTTACTAAAAGAAGAATAATAATCTGGAAGACGGACGAAATAAAAAGACAGAAGCGTAATGAATACAGGAAAGAAATTTTAAAAAAAAAACGAAAAAAAAAAGTTTTAAGATACAATGAAGGAATATTTATCACCAAGGCAAGGAAAGATTAATGATCATCTCCTTTTGAACACATAAATTAGGATTTTGACGCCTGATAGCAACGGCTTCAACAAACTTCAGATGACTGGATTTTGTCTGTTTATTATTAATCACCTTAAAATATTACAAGGTATCGACCTGATGTTGGAAACTCGATACTCTTAAAAATCTTTCAGGAAATAGTATCGAACTAACTTGTCGATGTAGGCATATAGGATAATATTACTATAGTAATAAAAATTGCAAGTTGTTAGTAGGATTGAATACATACTTCTCTTATGAATCTGAAAGTAGACACTCCATTGTGCATCTGGAGATATGTTTTTGATTGGTCAGAAATGGGATCAAATGGATGGGGAAGCTACATTGACTCTATTTTAAATCTTTGCTAACTTTATTCCTGTAGACTACATGATATTTTAGAATATTTAATGGAAATCTGTCAGTACACATTCCATATATCTTACTACATTGATAAAAATAGCCTTGTGTATTTCAAGAGTCGAGGTCATTTTACTCGATATATTAATGCAACATATTATCATTAGACCGTTTAAAATGTTAAAAACGTGAAGTTCAGAGAAGGGGATCTATTTTCGACGAATTTATTAACAAGCTGTACAGTATATATATATATATATATATGATAATTTTTTTGTTAAAGTACTGGTCCCGTGCGAACATATGAACAGGGAATAAACGTGATAATCAAATGGAAAGATTATAATACCAGATTACGTAATATGAACAATAACAATAAAAGATTGTATATATGCAAATAGATTATAATGTGAATAAAATAAGCTGATTAAAATGTTTTTGTTACAATAATTAAAGGTAATGGATGTGCAAAAATAAATGATGTAATTTCAGAAACAATTATGAAAGTAATGATGAAGACATGAGACATAAGTAAGGAGAGACGGGGGGATATTTTCCAATACGAAATGCAATGATAATAATAATAAAGTACAAGGTAACGATAACGAAAAGATGTACATATATAATTCTGGCTTGAGTTCATGAATGGTTAAGAGCTTATGCTGTTTTAAGGAGTTGGATACGAAGAAACCTAGGTAGATTCGGGTGAATTATATAAATAATCTTGAAATCAACCTGTGGAAAGGCGAAATAAATACAGTCGATTAGATGTTCAAGAATGGGACTTCTAACTTGTTTTTTATATCCTTGTAGAACCTCACTAGGATAACAGAATCTTATCATGTTTAGTCCTTGTTCATATGTGTTGACAGAACCAGTACTCTATATACATGTAATTCGTTGAAAAGAGATCCCTTCTCTAAATTTCGTGTTTTTTAATTTAAATACAGTTAAATGCCTTGAAGATGATCTGATGATCATTTCATAGTTGTGTATCATATGGATTTGTAAGATTATGATCAAAATAAGTAATATATCAGTTAAAATGTTCTAAATTTATATTTGGCACTTTCCTCAATACAGTATACAATTCAGACAAACTCTTGAAGAATTTTATTATCTTATCTATAGCATAATTGAGCTTAGAAATATTAATCAGATTCGATACTTTGATTAGATATTACTTATGACTTAGTAATCATTCATTCCACTAATTACATTTTGTTATGACCCAACTTTAGCTGTACGTATTGATATGTTATCATAATTTGTGAATGCGACGTGAAATCTATTCTTCAACTGAAATTAAACTATTCTCCTTACTTCCTAGATGAATTTTGAGCTCTCGCCTCTCCTAATGACTAAGAAGATAATCGGAAGCCGAATGGCCTATTCTTAGTCCGGGAAAAAAAATATGTCTGCTTATAAAACTTTTTGCGTGACCTTGGGAACTAGTCGTTTAGAGTGTGAATTTCATAGTGCCTGATTCAATGGTACAACCATAGTTTGAAAATCAAAGGTTGCATTCATCAAAATTACCATTATTTGTTTAATTTAGATCAACGTTTTTGACAAATAATTCGTTTTACAACACTTTCGATTGAGTGCACAAAATTTTATCGGTTCCATTAGAGTACATTTAAAAGTATACATCATTTTCAATATCACCACAGTGTAACGCGTTGACGTTGTATGACATTGCCTCTGTAATCTGGGTTCGAATTTCACTAGAGGTGAGGGATGGATGCAAACCAGTATGGAATATAGATTGAGATTTTCTTATCAATTACTTTCAACCAAATTGCATCGAAAAGTTTTATTCTCTATCCCAACAATAATAATAATGAACATAGTAGTACTAATGAGAGAAAATATGATTCTATCATTTTCTTTCAATGATATCTTATTATTTTTATCATTCTAGACTTCTATAACAGTACAACAATTTACTGAACGCATTCATGTTGCTGCCAAATATATGATGACTGAAAGAAAGGTCAGTATTATTTCCTATATCGATTTTTTTCTGTATTCTTTTCATTTCACTACTTATCAATTGTATCTTGTTTATGGATTTATAATTTTTATTAGAAATTTTAATGGCACATTTTTCAGTTAAAGTAAAGTACACAGATGAGCCAATCAGAATCGAGACGAGAAATTGTATTTAACTGACAAATTAACACTACCACGGAATTCTTCCCCACCCCACCGTAAACATTTTATCTTGAAATGAATCTTAACCCAGTGACAGTATAGTTTATGGCGGGACTGATTAGACTTATTCAAAATCGGTTTATTCGAACAGCCTACAAAGGATTTCTACATTATATATAGTGTCAGTTTATAATAAAACCTTAAGTCTAAACTTTTAATCGTAGCCTTAAATACCTGATTCTAGCCAAGAATAATCGGAGGATGATATCTTTAGATTTGCAGGCAGAGTAACCTGTGGAAGAGTTTAATCGATTCAAAATTATACATCCCTGTACAAATGCTACTTTGTAAATTGGCTAAGGATTAGCTGAAAATTCGTTGTGGTTGCTTATAGTTCGTCCCTTCACTATACACTTACTCATATTGCATAATATACATTATTTAAGAAGTATAAATTTGTAATATACTCTACTGTAAACCAAACTGTTTATGCATTAGTTATGGTTCTACTAATAAATTACTCTGAATCGCCAACATTCAGATTGAGTAAAATTCAGAAAAATGTGATCTTTCCGTTAAATGATCAGTATTTCAATCATAAAATCACCGCTCTCCAATAATGTGTAATGGAATTAATAGTAGGAAGTAATTAGATTTTGAGTTGTTGAAACAAACAAAGCAAGGAGTACAGATGTGTTTTGAATTTAGGGAATATTACAATCAATTGTTTTAACTACCGGACAAAATTTAAACATTCAGTTTTTTCGGTACATACTACATTTGCATTACAATCAGATTGAGTAATGGGCATTGTTGGCGTTTATATTTATGGACGACCTTTGAGCGACGCTAAAGCTACCTTGGGAATGTTCACCTACTTACTATAACTGAATGAAGGTTATATACCAGTGTAAAGAATTAGGATTAGGATTTTTAGCTGATGGTTAGGGCTAGGAATTAGATTTAGAGTTTTCATGACGAATTGGCATTAGCCAAAATGCCAAAACTCTCTCTAACCAAATGGATGAATGAATTTCGCGCCAAAATCCAAGACTTGTTATATTGTTTGTGATAGGCTCATTCATAAATTACAGTCTCACCCTTTACTGATTTCATTAATTTTCATTTTAATTTAGTTACTGTTTCTAAACCAGTCTCATCTACCTACCTACCTACCTATAGTTTCCCATTTCATATAGTTTATAGGCCAGTATATAGACGAGAGTTTTAAAATGCTTATGAACTAATCCAACTACAGTGCTATCAAAGATGTGTAAGCAGTTGTCACTTCCCGGTTGCCTACACCGTTGAAGGATGCTTCTTCTTGAAATACTTGTAAAGAAAACTAGATTATAAATAGTCTTGGAAACCTTGAAAGCACAACCATAGAGCCCAAAAGACATCTGCTTTAGGGTGGTCACACATGACATTTTTACAAATATGCCTTACCATTAAAGATTATCAGGTTGTTCAAGTTTTTTTCCCTCTTTCTGGAAACTACTAGAATCCCTTGATGAGATTCTTATTGTTTTCAGTTTTAATCTAATTTTGATTATACTACGTAGGTAGATATGATTTTAAAATTGTTGTAGGTCAGTTGTTCAATAGTTGAAAAGTTTGAATTTTAGCCTCTTAGTCACAGGTTTGAATCACGCTCTACTTATTTCAGTTTAAACTACTTGATATTACTACTGGCTTTCACATGTATGGTATAACGAGTAGGCAAGTTGTTGTTGTTGTTGTTGATATTTTCATTAACACATTCTTAATGTAATTTTACAACTGAGTACAAAAAAGAATATCACATGATTAGCTTATGTTACAAACTTTATTTGATCTTTTAATATTGTTTTAGTCCGTTAAGAAACATTTGCCCCACATAAATCATTCGATTTGTGTGAGGGGTGGGATACTGACTGGGTGCCCAAAACGAAACAGGTGGTTTTCTTAGGAGACCAAACCCGGAGCCTTTGATATGAAGGTCTAATCCACAAGGCAGTGGAGCAACGTAAGGAGATGCAATCCCATGATAGCCAGTGACCAATAATTGGTTCATACGCCATTTGTTCCTTCAGAATACTGGAATCCATGTGCATTATTGGTTTGGAATGAGTGTTTTCCAACTCCTCTATGTGGACTCTCCATGTCCACCAACCCGTTTAAAGCGTTGAACATTCGCTTTTCGTCCTCTAAGTTTCGTAAACAACAGTAATGCCACGAGAAGTTAGTGAGTAGGACTTCCGTGGCAGTGTTTGTATGTACGTGGCCATGTGAGAGCATTTCAATAAACTCAACAGGACACTGAATTTAAAACTATTCATCTTTCTAGAACTGTGATATACCATTCAACTACTGAACCTAGAGTTCAGTAGTACACATTGTTTTTTTTAGTTTTAGTCTTTATGTATGGGTATCGCAGTTATTATCCAATGTTATTGATTGGCAATCATTTCACTCTTGACTTAATAGAAAGGAAAAAACAAAGATTCAAGCATAAAAACATAAATTTATTTTGTTTTATGAGATTCTCGTTATCTGCTACTGATCCGTATTGTTGCATAATCAAAATTACAAAATGATTTCTAAAGAACTGTGATTGGATGCGATTGTGAATACATACCAGTATACTATAGGGAATATGTGATTAAATTCAAATGACCAAATACTATTCTTCCCTGAAGAATTGAGATAATTCAACGAAGAATGTTTTCTTTTCGACAATATCTTTTACTTAAGCTGTACAATCGTATTTATAGTCAATTTACAAACAAAATAGTCCACTGAAAAATAGATCATATTATGTAACAGAGAAAGTTGCTTAGTATACGAGAATTTACGTGAGATAATAAAATGAAATCAAATATCTAAAGGGTAAATGTCCACTTGACGATTTGGAAAAGCAGGTGGACGTAGCATCAGCACAACTCCTTGTGTTTGTTGAGCATTTTGTTTTTCATGGACTAAGTATAAGAGCCCCCCCCCCTGAAGCTAGTCGTTGTTCTCCAACCTGCGTCCGATGTGTTTCACTTATTCCAAGCACCTCCAGGTTGTATCTTCATTTCTGCAGCAATTTGGATGACTCTTCCGGTCTCCCACATTGTATGAGCATTGCATGTACCTAAATTAATCGTTGCTCTGGTTGTCAGAATGGACATCAGCCTCGTGACTTCCGAAGGAACTCGACTTTCACCATGAGGCGTCATAGTTCTTCTAAATGAAGATTTTCTAACTCCCAGGGCAGAGTTTAAGTGGTTTGAATAATTTTTTCTGGTTAGCGTTTTTTTTGGCGAGCCAGTTTTCTACGGGATGGAGTCGTTAACCCAATGTCCAACCCTCCTCCTTTATCCGGACTAGGGACCAGCTGTAGCTCCAAGGGGGTTCCGGGTGGAGTTAGGTGAACATAATAATGATAAATAATTAAAATTGAAAAAGAATAAAAAACATTAGAAGGATTTAGTAAAATCGAATCACTATTTATGTAAATTAAGTATTACAACCATGAAAGAATGATCGTTTGAACATATCGCTTTTACATATATAATTTAATCTTTTAAAGAAGTGTTACTAACGCTTCTACAATTCATTTGCACTTTTTTTCTAACTAAATCATCTGATTATATAGATAACTTTTAAAAGGCCCACCAGATAGGATCATATGATCAAAGTTCAATATTGAATTGTAATTAATATTTACATTTACCCTTTTTTTCAAATCACACGGGATAATGTTCGGAAATACATTCGAAAGAAAATATATATATATTCTAATTTTAAAGAAATGGTGACTACGTTATCAACAACGTTTAATAATGAGTAAGAATAAAATCATTTGAGTCAAGTTAATTATAAAAACGAAAATTTAATGAATTAAAACAATTTCACAGATTGAAATCATGAGTCAATTGAAACTAGACCATCATTTAAAACCTGAGAGCACACTGGACGGCCGTTTCATCCTAGTATGGGACTCCTCAACAGTGCTCTTCCACGATCCCGCCCTCCTCGGCGAGATTCGAACCCAGGACCTACCATTCTCGCTCCAAGCGCTTAACCGACTATACCACTGAGTCAGCATCCAACGATGTTAATGCCTAACTTCAACTAATCCACGAAATTGAACGACACATCCACCATTGTCATCAGTGAGTTACTATTTCACAACTGGATGCGCAATGCTGAGTAGTCCCACAATAGGACGAGGTGGCCGTCTAGTGCTTCCAGGTTTTCCATGGTGGACTAGCTTCAATTGACTTATGATTTCAATCTGTGAAATTTCTAAAATCTCCACAAACCCCTTCTGAAATTAAAACAGTGTTAAATTTTAACGGCAGGACTATCATTTTTTGGATGAATCAATCAGGCATAAGATAACGGATCTTGGATTTTGGTGCGAAATTCACTCATTCATTCGGATAAATAGAGTTTTTAGCATTATAGTTGATGTCAATTTGTGATGAAAATCTGATATCTAATTCTTAACTTTAATCATCAACTGTAAATTATAAGTCTAATTCCTTACATAAGTTTATAACCCTCATTTGATCCTGGTTATTAGGTGAACACTCTCAAGGTCAGTCTAGCGTCACTCAAAGGTTGTCCATAAATTATAGTCTTACTATTTTAACTGTTATTCATTACGTAACCACTAATTTCTTACTCTTTAGTCTTTTGCTATTATCAATGATATAATATATTCTTCTATGTAAGATATGTATTATTATTATAAGCTGTATTCACTATTATATTTTTTTGGTACAATATAGAATTCTCAGCACAAAGTATTTCAACAAGTTTCCGTTTCTTACTTCTTGGTCGATTCTGACGATAAATATTGAGTGATCGCCAGTTAGATGTTAGCAGTCCAGTAAATGTATATTCTTTTTGCTGCATATTGCCAGCGACCACATTATCTCTTATTGCGCTATTGTGTAACGTTGACAACGAAAAGTTGTACACTTTTCAGAAATGCGCCAGGATAGATTATGCGATTAATAGACATAATGATATATCAAAACAAACAAAAATAGATAACTTGTTGAAATATCTAGATGGCAGGAACAGGTAGCCCAGATACTCAAGAAGGCCGCCTAAGATATGTATTTGTATATGGTCTTTTAAATTTATTCTCATCTCTCTCTATTATTCTAACACCTGTTCACAACACATTTCAGTCGAAATCATTGATTTAGGTTTTTTTCTTCTTTTAAAAACTTACTCTAGAATTCTCATCTTGGTTGTTAACAGTTGACCAGAATTTAACAATATAAAATAAATCCCTGTTTTTCTTCTCAACTCTTTGTGTTTTTTGTTTCTTCTTATTCACTTGGTTTAAACATTTCAAGTGATTTATCTTCAATCATTTCAGTAATTATAGTAATTTATAGTAATATGACACCAGTCTTTACTACTGTTGTAGTGTATGCTACTTATGTCTGTAAAACCGATCAGAAGTGGAATGTAAACAGAGAATAATTGTTATAACAATGAAGGAAAGATAAAGTCTGAAACAATTGATGGAGGATATGCAAATAAAGTATTTAATGTATAGATTCTACCATTTACGAAAGAACTCTGTAATCTCGTATTAAACCGTGGATTAGTTGTCCCCCACCCATATTCTTCTTCTCTACATTACTACTACTATTTCTATTATTACTATTATTATTATTATTATTATCCACTTGGTATTGTTTACTCAAATCTTCCCATTGATGTTTAACACTGCAATTGATAGAATGAAACGCGCGTCCTGGATTCCACCGCTAGCCATTATCCATCTTTTATTATTATTACTATTTAGTAATCAGTTATTACACTTGTAATTTGTTTTCCAAATATAAATTTCACCCAAAATGAAATCTCGCGCCAGGCACTTAACTAACTAGACCATTGAGTTGGCATTAAACGGTGTTAATGTCTAACTTCAACCAATCCACGAAGTTGCACCACCGTACACCATTGTCTTCAGTGAGGTGATATCTCACAACAGATCTGGTTGAATTACACCGGTAGTGATTTTTAAACTAGTTTACAGAAATTATTGACAAGTTCGTTGAAAAATATTGTTTTTGTCTTGTTTTTGTTCAGTGAGTTCTTTCTAGTTGTATTAGTTTCCTTGAAGAAATGTTGTGTGTTTATACTTTTTGTGTATTGTTTTTCATTTTTATTACTAGATTATTATTATCATTATTATTATTAAGCTTCATTCAATATTATATTTTTGGTACAAAATAGAATTCTCAGAACAAAGTATTTCCAACAGGCTTCCTTTTGTTATTTCTCTATCGATCCTGACGATAAATATTTAAGTGATCGTCAGTTAGATGATAACAATTCAGGAATCGGCATCTGAATAATATTCATTCTTTTCAACGCATATATATATATCTGCATGCACATACATATATACTGCTTTATCCAATAGACACGCGATATTAGGTCAGAAAAAAGTATATTTTTTTCATGTTTTTCAACTATCTCGCTAGTGATTATCCTATTTTTATAGCCTTCATTAAAACGCTTAGTTTACATGAAGCAGTCTGTTTTCTTTAGTGTATTATTTTTATAAATAACCTTCATCACTTCGTAAATATATTCCAAGAGTTCAGTGTTTTTTTTCTTATTGCTGCCACCGTTTATCAGTCTACAATGTTGACGATCACAAGAATTATCACTTGAAGACCATATTATATGAATAATACTTATTATAGATACTTTTTTGTTGTATCCCTATTAGTAGCAAAGTTACATTTCTGACGTTTAGTGACTTAATATAAGCCATTAAAAATTCAAAGTTTAAATAGTACTATTTAAACTTGTGTTAACTTTGGTTATTTATTTACTCTGGAGAAGTGGCTTACATCGACTCATAAAATGTCAGTCATATAACTTTTCGACTCATTGGGATATCACAAAAAAATATATTTATAATTAATTCTTTATTCAACGCTCAATTTGTTTGAAACTATCAAGTCCAACCTTAGCACTGATACAAATAATACTGATCATTATTATGGTGAGACTATAATTTATGGACGACCTTTGAGCGACGCTAAAGTGACCTTGAGAGTGTGTACCTACTTACTAAGGCTAAGTGAGGGTTATAAAGCAGTTTGAAGAATAAGGATTATGATTTATAGTTGATGGTTGAGGTCAGGAATTAGATTTAGGGTTTTCATCACGAACTGACATCAGCTATAATACCAGGATTCCATTTAGCCAAATGGGTGAATGAATTTAGCGCCAAAATGCAAGACCTCTTATCGTAAATCTGATTGGTTCGTCCATAAATTGTTGTCTCGCCCATTATTATTACTATCATTATTACTATTATTGTTGCCATTATTATTACTATAGTAAATACTACATTAGGATATAGATCTGATCGATCATGTATTTATTCAACAAAATATTTCATACATGTTCTACTATTCGCTTTATTTTCTAAATATTATTTTTCGTATACAACCACCATTGTAATATTGTTTTCATTATTGTTTCTATCTTTAGAACATTCGAAGTAATTTACCCCAACCATGTAAATTAATTCAAGCATCCGATTGTGTTGAAGATATTTGGGGTCAAATGATGAAACACTTTGAAACACATTCACGTTTTATTGTACAGTTTGTTAAATACATTCCAGGTAAGTGTATTGTTGCCATTTTCACTTTGTTTGTTTTTCTGTCGATTGATCTCCTTCTATTCTCTCCCTCTTCCTCATTCTCGTTATATATTTTTGATGTTGTTCATGTTTTTCTATTATTCTTCATTTTGGATTACAAATACAGTGCCATTTGATTTTAAAATATGTTGTGTAATGTAAATTCCACTTATTGATCCATGTCAAAAACTGCCTGCAAATCAAACTATAACACCTCTCATTTATGATAACATTGCATATTCTCTGACTGTTCTATTGTATCGCAAATTAATTGAATTCGACAGTATGAATCTTTGGATTCATAAATGAATTTTTTAAACGTTAAACACTGGTCATGTTGCCTGAATGACCTCAGTTCAATCCTTGAGTTAAGGTTATAGTCTCACATTGTTGATGAGTCTCTTACTAGGGGGATACAATTATCTAAGGCTTCTTGTTATTCGATGCTAGTTGACTGATATCAAGCACACAAGTTATTAATTTCCTTTTCTTAATGATGCGATTGTGAGGTCAGTTGCTATTCTCTCGCTTACTTCATCGTGCCCCGTTCATTAAAATATTTTGGATAGATAAGTATGTTTGTGTATAGTAGTATATGTTTGTATTTCTAAATGTCAAATACTTCCGTCCACTTTTTTTTACTTCACTATACACTCAATAAATTAATCACTAAATTGTAGCGTTATTTTCAAGTATGTGATAACGTTGATTACATCATGTCTCGACATAGACAGATAGATAGGCATGCAAATAAAAAGGAGACATTTTGTCTATGGGATTTTTGCTGGGGGGGGGAGAGCGGGGGAGGAAAAAAAATTACAGACGTTTCAATATTTTTCACATGATCCTCACTGGATTTATATACACGTAATGATGACGATAATCATAAAGAGGATGATGCTAAATACAGATAGAAAAGACAACCAAATCCTCGTTTGTTGTAGTTAGATTTTGTTATATTGTATATGTAAATACTTTTATTTTTTTTCTAAGAATCCAAGCTCAATAATCTGTGACATATATAAATGTTTGGTTGACTTACGCTTAATTTACTGTGTATTGATAATCTGCCATTTAATGATTGAATTACAATCTTTAAATTAGCATAAACATTTGAGAACAGATAGAACGAAAAATCGAATTTGTTTTTAGTCATTTAAGGTTTGATTAATATCCTTAACTAGTTAACAGATAGAAACATCATTTTTAATAGTTGAATTCGTGAGTCGATTTGAGCTAGACCATCACTAGAAAACCTGGAATTACTGGAAAGCCATTTCGCCTTAGAATGGGACTTCTCAACAGTGTGTGTCCAAGAGCCCGTACACCTGATCCGAACCCATGACCTTCAATCTCGCGCATGAACGCCTTACCTCTAGACCACTAAGCCGGCTTCTAACAGTGTTAATGTCTAATTTCAATCTTCTCATGATCTTACGCAACCCTTCATCCATTGCCTAGGGGGGGGATTACTGTTTCACACCCGACATGAATTGGACTACACTAGTTACGACTTCTCATTATAACTCCAAGATATCCCCACAAACCCCCATTCTAATAAGAAATAGAATTGACAAAAATATTTTCTATACAATACATAAAATTATAATTAGTGATCGTATGGTGAATGAATATGGTGATTAGTTGGAAGTAATGTAACTATATGATGTGATTCTAGATTTCGTGCTAACTGGTACTTTTTTTACAAGACGAATTAACTGTACTACTAGTAGATTATTGTCATTATGAGATGTAATTGTTTTTTACTCAGTGACATAAACAGTTGCAATGTTATCAATTGACGAATTCCAGCTTTAGTTGAATTCATTTAAGATTGAAATGATCACTGTTATGTCGAAAGTAAACAGTAAAGTGTTTTGTGGGTTTAGTTTGTATTAGGTCTCGTGCGATCGGGCTGTAATGACAACTGTATGACCTCTCTGTAGTTCAATTATCGGTTAGTTCATATATATTGCAAGTATGACTAGTGATCTAATTACCAGCTGATACAATGACCAATGAACAACAATGAGGACCTCAACGTTTACTGTTCTTCGATTTCTTTCTAGTGTAATGATCAATTAGAAGACGAAGATAGAAAGAGGAACAGAGTAAAAGTATAGTATACTGACGACTTTAGGCCACTCATCAGCCAATCAGGAAACGCTGCTTAGTTATAAAACAATTAGCAGTACGAAGTAATAGAATAACAGTGGAATAATATCTTTGATCTTAATAATCAATCCTCACAAGTCAAAATGTCCCTTCCGGTAAACAAAAAAAAGAAAGTTTACATATATACCTGTATACTAGGAGTCGGGATAGTTAGGTTATCACCCGATAGAGTTTTCGTCGCCAACTGACATTAGTTATAACGCAAAACTTTTAGGGATAGCTATTAAAAGTTAAACTAGAGCTTAGAGTTGGGTTTACAAATTGGGTTCATCGTTTTTTTGTACGAATTGACATCACCAACCGGGTTGATGGACATGGAGAGTTCACCTTAGGGAGTTGGAAAACCCTCATTCCAAACCAATCGTGCACATGGACTCCAGCATCCTGAAGGAACAAACGGCGTCTGAACCAATCGTTGATCACCGGCTACTGTGGGACTGCATCTCCTCACGATGCTTCACTGTCTTGTGGATAAGATCTTCAGGTCGAAAGTTTCGAGTATGACCCCTTAAGGAAACCACCTGCTTCAGTAGGTCTTGGGTTCGAATCTCACGAAGCGGGATCGTGGATGGACACTTTTGAAAAGTCTCATACTAGGATGAAACGGCCGTTCAGTACTTCCAGGTTTCCCATGGTGGTCTAGCTTCAATTGACTCATGAACCCAACTATTAAATTATAATAATAATAAAAATGTATATCATTATCTTTGAAACAATCTCAACGATTGATATTCAAAGAATCGATTATAACCCTGAATAAATCCAGATAAGTTTACTGAGCAAAATGTTGGAATTATTTTTTAGATTTCAATTGTTGAGATTATTCCAAATATAATTTTCATCTATAAATGAACTTCTTTATACTGGGCGCCTAATTTTTATCCTACTATTCGTTTTAATATTGACGAATATTCTATCGCATAGCTACTTTTTTGTATTTTTTTTTCGTTCTAATAAACGTTTTTGTCATCCCATTCTATCCAATAATCACCTTTCCTTTCAACGATGAACGTAAATCATTTACAAAAAAAAGAAAAGAAAAAATACCACTTATACTGTTTCGAACGTTGTCATGGATATCGATAACCACCTGTTCTTGAATAGGTTATATCTGATAGAGTTTGTGTGAATGGATACACAAATACACCTTTAAAAAAAAAACAAGTTAACTGATCACTTATTTTTAGAAACTTTTTTAAAAAATCATACCCCTCCCTTTATCATCATCATTAGAATTCAGGAATCACAATAACTATGCAATAAATGTTAGACTTATAAAATCGTATCCGTTTATCTAGACATTTTATACTCTTATTACTTCATATGTTTTATTCTCTCTTATTGTTGGTTGAACTCAGTTTTGTTGTTGTTGTTGTTGTATTTATTTATTCAATGTGCTAATAATGAAGTCTCTTATTATATTCATATGTGAATAGATTATACTTATATACACAAAATCCATTATATTAAGTATTTGTCTATTTCTCTATAATTGACATTTGTTAACCTGTAAAGCAATATTTAGTGTTATATCGAATATTTCAATGTCTAGTCAAATAGAAGAGTTATTACTCTCTATATATATATATATATATTCGCCTCACAACATTTCTCGTCTATGCGTTGGAGATTATTCCCCCCTCTTTCTTTTTCTCTCTCTCTCTCTCTCTCTCGTTTTTATCATGTTGTTTTCCTGCTTCTATTTTCATCGTCTGTCTGTCTGTCTATCTATCTGTCTACTTGTATTTTTTTCTCTACTGTGGATAATAAGTTGAACTTCGTTATTATTATATTGTTCATTGCCCTGTAGTGATAGTAAATAGTATCTTGATCAGTCATATTTCAATAATGGAAGAGAATGCAATTAATGGTTTTTGTTTAACCCTAGAGATTATAGATGAAAAGAAAATAGATTCTTTTTTAATGATTTCACTGTAGCTAGAGTAATTTGAAAGTGGAATGTTTTCAATACGATGTTAGTTAATAGATATTTTTTACATTAGCAAATACTAATGAAGTAGTTTGGGTTTGTGGTTTGTTTCATTTCATTAAATACTTCTATAATAGAAGCGATGTAGCCTTAATCTATCTTGAATATACCAGTTGATTATATGAAATTCTAGTCTGCTTTACGTCATTGCCTGGGTTTGGACACTCATAATCTTTTTAGTATGTTTCACACTAATCAGGATAATCTGTTGAGATAGTTTCTGGCTTTCATCACATTACATGTGTCTTGATGATAACAGTCAATGAAGATACATAATCAACAATTTGCTGTCAACTTACATCTTCTTCTCTGAGAAGTTGCACATTGCTCAATGACTGTTATATCATTCATTAAAATCTAACGCTTATAAAATACTAGTATAGGGGTGGTGGAGATTATTAAGTTTTTGATTGAGATCATGAACCGATTGATATTAGACCATCACAATTGAAAACCTGGAAGCACTGGACGGCCGTTTCGTCCTATTGTGGGACTCCTCAGCAGTGCGCATCCACGATCCCGCGAGCGGGATTTCGTGCATTGGTTGATGTTAGAAACTGTCACCATTGGATGCCGGCTCATTGGTCTAGTTGGTTAAGCGTTCGCGCGCGATACAGAAGGCCCTGGGTTCGAATCCCGCGAGCGGGATCGTGGATGAGCACTGCTGAGGAGTCCCACAATAGGACGAAACGGCCGTCCAGTGCTTCCAGGTTTTCAATTGTGGTGGTCTAACATCAATCGGTTCATGATCTCAATCAAAAAGCTTATAAAATAGTAATTCAATCAGTTCCTATTAATGATATAGAAATTAGAAAATCAAACAGATATTTATTATTTGTATAGGGGGATTTCTGGAGTTTATAGGATATTCACAGTTTAAATCACGGACTAATCTTAGCTAGAGTTCTAGTAAGAAGCCTTGGTCAGTGGAGTTTAACTTTATCAGGTGTGAAACAATTATCTACCCGAAGCAATGGATGAGGGTTGGACAATTTTGTAAGCTGAATAATATTAAACATTCACACTATTTAATGCTGGCTCAGTGGTCTAAAGATTAAATGTTCACTCATCAGACCGAAAATCCTGGGTTCGATTCTTGAATGTATAATTATAGATGAGCACTGCTATGTAGTCCCATACTAGAACAGAACGGTCGTCCAGAGATTTACAAGAGTGATATATCTAACAACGGCTTGTGACTTAAACTATAAACACACCTACCCTTTTTCAAAGGAAAGGGGATGGAATAGCCGAATCTGTTTATATTTTTATCCATTTGATCGATAGAATTTAGAGACTTGTGATTTCTATTTTCATTTGTTGTTGTCATATGTATACCACTGAGAATGGCTGAATCTCATTCAATTCATGACATTCATCTATATTTTATAAATAAATTATAAGATTGTAATGTACTTGTTTGTTTGTGTGTGTGTGTGTTTATATTGTTTACATTTATGTAAATATATTATCATTATTTCGTCAAACATCATCATTAAAAATTGAAAAGTAGGCCACATTGTTTTGTGGGTAATCATATGGAACAGTTTTTTTAATGTTTATCATTTCCTTTTTCATCAAGATGATATTATTATAAGATTATTGCTATGTCCTCCGAAAAATGAAGTCTAATCTACATTCGTGAAGTTAATTTTATCGCCACAATTTTTTTATATGAGTGCTACTATATACTACTACTTACTTGTGAAGATTTTAATCACTATGGAAACATTAAATTAGGTTATAATTGACTTTTTTTACCACCAAGTAAGGAGTCTGTTCATCGGTGTTTGTTTGTGATTTGTTTCACATGTGAATCATTCTACTAATCACTTATGGTTAATAACATTGTTATTGACTTATATTTATCTCATTAGTTGAGATCATGAGTCAATTGAAGCTAGACCACCATGGAAAACTTGGAAGCACTGGACGTCCGTTTCGTCCTATTGTGGGATTCCTCAGTAATGTGAATCCACGACCTCGCCTCACGGAATCCGAACCCAGGACCTATCAGTGTCGCGCGCGAGCGCTTAACCACTAGACCACTGTTAAGGCATCCAAAGGTGCTAATGTCTAACTTTGACTAATTCACGAAATTGAGCGACACATCCGCAATTGTCATCCGTGAGTCACTATCTCACAACTGACCCAGTTGAACTCTACTGGTCACTGTTTTTCACTAGAACTCCAAGATATACATCTTGAAGACAGTCACTAGTGAGCATATGTTGATTAGTATCAGAATAAGTTTTATGGAAATTGTAGTAATTTCAATCGAACTCAGAACCATCAGGTCTTGAAGCAAATGATTAATTTCTAGACTACTGAGTTCACATTTGATGACATATATTGTTAACTTCAACCGATTCGCGATATTGATTGACGATCTTCCGACACGATTAGTAAATAAGTGCCTCACATCTGACAAAGTTGAATTCCAATAATTTACACAAACTCTCTCCCATACTAATACGTATAATTTTTATATCAGGATATGAAATCTGTGAAAATTGTTTGATTCACAGGTAGTCTAACATTAAATGGACTAACTTTGGTTAAATAACCACTAAAGAACGCAGAAAGCAATGAATATCTATATTTCCTTCTGGTATCAGTTATTCTCCAGCAGTGTATGAATTCACAACTCCAATTAGTGTAAGGAGAGAACGGAATTCTAATAAACTATTATCCCATTCTCTTGTAAACCATTAAATTGATACATCTTGACTAAATTTCACTCTGCATTGTACTCAGTAATAATCATAATTATCAGTATGGGGGTTGTGGAGATTGTTAAGTTTTTGGTTGAGATCATGAATCAATTGATGTTAGACCACCGTTGGAAACCTGGAAGCACTGGACGGCCGTTTCGTCCTAGTATGGGACTCCTCAGCAATGTGCATCCACGAACCCGCCCCTCGCGGGATGCCGACTCAGTGGTCTAATGGTTAAGTGCTTAGGCGCGAAGTCAGTAGGTCCTGGGTTCGAATCCCGCGGGTTGCGGGATCGTGGATGCGCACTGCTGAGGAGTCCCATACTAGGACGAAACGGCCGTCCAGTGCTTCCAGGTTTCCAACGGTGGTCTAACATCAATTGATTCATGA